CACATTTTCATAGATGCTTAATGAGCAAAGCCGTGCATCTCATTGTCGCGAAGCTCTATATCAGTTTGTATATGCTTGCTCAATTTTCATCTTCACCCACACACTGATGCATTTCACTCCTGATACAACTAGGAAGAAAGCCCATCATCAACTGAATGACGTGAACCGAGTGCACTCGAAAGATGGGTCTTTACTGTACAAATCAGTCACCTAGGCTCAGAGGAGACAGTTAAGTTGGTTAGCAGAGAATAAGTGCTGGCAAGCCAGATGATGAGAATCATCGTCTGCAGCTCTCAGCAGATCACAACGTACTTCTCCCTGACACAGACTTCTAGTTCAACCGTCACTCTCGTCCTCTCTGGCTTCCATCCTATCACATTCAAACACGAAATCAAATGGATCACATTGAAGTCAACTACCGGATGTATGGCGAGGGAGACTCGTCATATACACAACATAGGCTTCCTTCACGTCGTCCTCACGCTCCTCCAGCTGCCTCAATACAATCTGAAAATCACAACTCACTTAGATTCCTCGCACTCAAATACACCTTAAAACTGTCTTTCAGAGACGAATATCTCTGAGACGATTATGCATATCTTGGAATGACCATAGAAAAAACAAACAAACACCGCTGATAGAATGACAGCATACAATCGGTTATCACCACTGATCCCAATCAGGCGTGCGATTAGATGGACTTGTTACGTCTAGTCATCTCTCTATAACCCTATCATCGACAATATTTCGGTGACTGCCTCGGAGGAGGTCAGTGTTGGTGGTAATGTACACCTGTTATAATCACAGGAAGACTTTTCTACCTTCAGCATCTAGAGGACATCGTCTTCTCGTGTGACAACTCATAGACTACCCTTAATCCTACACAATCAGTTAGCCATCAGTGTCTCCAAGTATCTACGAAATGTGCCTAGCACCACTGAAGTGCAAAATGCTTTTAAACCCTCGCCTGAACTAGTCCTCTCAGGTGAACCGTTAAAAGTAGTAGAAAAGTCCTTATATCCAGGCTGTTGTCTGACTAGTCCTGCAAGGATGAAATCTCCGATTGCACATCAAATGTTAAACAACATCAACCGAACTGAACCACCTCCGCGTTGTCAAACCTTGGCTTTGCAACCACTAGCTACATATGGTTCTACTCTACGTCCATGAAACAAACTCTCACCAAAATGAAGATACACGACGTCTCTGTCCATGTGATTACCAGTGTCTTCACAGGACTACTTACACCTGGTGAGCAGTCCTGAGGTCCACTGACTGATATAGTCCCTCAATAAACAATACCGTCCTGTCACACACTGGACTTGGTGATGAATGTCACCCCGTGGCAGTCGATTACACACCACTTAACCTGGAGCCGCTTCCAAGATACAAACGAGTAGTCGGCCAACAAAGTGTCTCCTCGAGATGAATAACCTGTGCTGCATTAGTGTCTACACCATCACGAGCATCTCAGTGAGGTTTCACAGATACATTTGCTCAAGACGTTATCAAATAAGATTCAGAGTCAAAATCAATCGTACTCATGATGCAGATTTCTGGTCTCCTCCACTACACAAACTAGTACAACAAATTCAGTCAGTAATCCATTGAATGTAATTAATGGGAGCGCTTACCCGTCTATTCGGTCACTCTTTAACTATTCATTTCCCCTTGCCTCTCCTTAAACTCCTGTCCCATGCATTGGTCAGTATCTGAGTTTACACAAATACAGTATAATAAACACACGAATGACTACGTTGAGACTTATCGAGAAACAGAGGAGAACTGTCAACCAGCCGAAGATTAAGCAATCCAGTTACTCCCACTATGCCTTTCATTCAATACAGAAAATATCCAGCAGAATAATCTGCTCTTAATATTCCTACTCTATATCTATATACTGGGTATTTTCTAACACATTTTCATAGATGCTTAATGAGCAAAGCCGTGCATCTCATTGTCGCGAAGCTCTATATCAGTTTGTATATGCTTGCTCAATTTTCATCTTCACCCACACACTGATGCATTTCACTCCTGATACAACTAGGAAGAAAGCCCATCATCAACTGAATGACGTGAACCGAGTGCACTCGAAAGATGGGTCTTTACTGTACAAATCAGTCACCTAGGCTCAGAGGAGACAGTTAAGTTGGTTAGCAGAGAATAAGTGCTGGCAAGCCAGATGATGAGAATCATCGTCTGCAGCTCTCAGCAGATCACAACGTACTTCTCCCTGACACAGACTTCTAGTTCAACCGTCACTCTCGTCCTCTCTGGCTTCCATCCTATCACATTCAAACACGAAATCAAATGGATCACATTGAAGTCAACTACCGGATGTATGGCGAGGGAGACTCGTCATATACACAACATAGGCTTCCTTCACGTCGTCCTCACGCTCCTCCAGCTGCCTCAATACAATCTGAAAATCACAACTCACTTAGATTCCTCGCACTCAAATACACCTTAAAACTGTCTTTCAGAGACGAATATCTCTGAGACGATTATGCATATCTTGGAATGACCATAGAAAAAACAAACAAACACCGCTGATAGAATGACAGCATACAATCGGTTATCACCACTGATCCCAATCAGGCGTGCGATTAGATGGACTTGTTACGTCTAGTCATCTCTCTATAACCCTATCATCGACAATATTTCGGTGACTGCCTCGGAGGAGGTCAGTGTTGGTGGTAATGTACACCTGTTATAATCACAGGAAGACTTTTCTACCTTCAGCATCTAGAGGACATCGTCTTCTCGTGTGACAACTCATAGACTACCCTTAATCCTACACAATCAGTTAGCCATCAGTGTCTCCAAGTATCTACGAAATGTGCCTAGCACCACTGAAGTGCAAAATGCTTTTAAACCCTCGCCTGAACTAGTCCTCTCAGGTGAACCGTTAAAAGTAGTAGAAAAGTCCTTATATCCAGGCTGTTGTCTGACTAGTCCTGCAAGGATGAAATCTCCGATTGCACATCAAATGTTAAACAACATCAACCGAACTGAACCACCTCCGCGTTGTCAAACCTTGGCTTTGCAACCACTAGCTACATATGGTTCTACTCTACGTCCATGAAACAAACTCTCACCAAAATGAAGATACACGACGTCTCTGTCCATGTGATTACCAGTGTCTTCACAGGACTACTTACACCTGGTGAGCAGTCCTGAGGTCCACTGACTGATATAGTCCCTCAATAAACAATACCGTCCTGTCACACACTGGACTTGGTGATGAATGTCACCCCGTGGCAGTCGATTACACACCACTTAACCTGGAGCCGCTTCCAAGATACAAACGAGTAGTCGGCCAACAAAGTGTCTCCTCGAGATGAATAACCTGTGCTGCATTAGTGTCTACACCATCACGAGCATCTCAGTGAGGTTTCACAGATACATTTGCTCAAGACGTTATCAAATAAGATTCAGAGTCAAAATCAATCGTACTCATGATGCAGATTTCTGGTCTCCTCCACTACACAAACTAGTACAACAAATGCAGTCAGTAATCCATTGAATGTAATTAATGGGAGCGCTTACCCGTCTATTCGGTCACTCTTTAACTATTCATTTCCCCTTGCCTCTCCTTAAACTCCTGTCCCATGCATTGGTCAGTATCTGAGTTTACACAAATACAGTATAATAAACACACGAATGACTACGTTGAGACTTATCGAGAAACAGAGGAGAACTGTCAACCAGCCGAAGATTAAGCAATCCAGTTACTCCCACTATGCCTTTCATTCAATACAGAAAATATCCAGCAGAATAATCTGCTCTTAATATTCCTACTCTATATCTATATACTGGGTATTTTCTAACACATTTTCATAGATGCTTAATGAGCAAAGCCGTGCATCTCATTGTCGCGAAGCTCTATATCAGTTTGTATATGCTTGCTCAATTTTCATCTTCACCCACACACTGATGCATTTCACTCCTGATACAACTAGGAAGAAAGCCCATCATCAACTGAATGACGTGAACCGAGTGCACTCGAAAGATGGGTCTTTACTGTACAAATCAGTCACCTAGGCTCAGAGGAGACAGTTAAGTTGGTTAGCAGAGAATAAGTGCTGGCAAGCCAGATGATGAGAATCATCGTCTGCAGCTCTCAGCAGATCACAACGTACTTCTCCCTGACACAGACTTCTAGTTCAACCGTCACTCTCGTCCTCTCTGGCTTCCATCCTATCACATTCAAACACGAAATCAAATGGATCACATTGAAGTCAACTACCGGATGTATGGCGAGGGAGACTCGTCATATACACAACATAGGCTTCCTTCACGTCGTCCTCACGCTCCTCCAGCTGCCTCAATACAATCTGAAAATCACAACTCACTTAGATTCCTCGCACTCAAATACACCTTAAAACTGTCTTTCAGAGACGAATATCTCTGAGACGATTATGCATATCTTGGAATGACCATAGAAAAAACAAACAAACACCGCTGATAGAATGACAGCATACAATCGGTTATCATCACTGATCCCAATCTGTACTGGTATGATTTAATTTATGTGTTGGGTCATTGTACTTTCCAGTGTTGTAGGGAAGTTTTTTTCAATTGTGTGAATGCTTTCTGTTTTCGGCTCACAACACTGTTAATTTTTTCGTGTTATGCAGTTGTTTGGGAGGATTTTTCGGTGATTTTTGTCCAGTGACTGCCTATCTCAGGAGGATCCTTGTAGGATTGTATGATTTTAGCAGATTGCTAATGTGTTGCTGTTAAGTAAATTTTTGTTTCGATGGTAATAAAGGGCTGTAAGAACTACTAGAATCCACTGAATTGTCCATGTGGGACATATATTCTCTATTCGGGAGAACTTATTTACGTCCGGGATATCTACAGAGTATTATTTTGCTGTTTATGATTCAGCGATCCTTTATGAATTTCTAGTCAAGCGTGAAAAATGTTTCAGTGACTAGTTCAGTTTGAGTTAACTAATAGTTCATTTATTTACGGAATTTTCACGTTATTCGCATATTCTGCTTATTTTAATACAGTGGAAGCATATTTAGACTTTGTTACCTGAAGAGTGTAGTCAGGAGGCAGTTTTTTACGAAATACTGCTGAGAGAATTCCGATAGGAAAAATGGCGGTTTTAACCGTTAAAATATTCGCATTTACGTACGAGTTGTTTGGAAATACAAATTACCAGTTACTCAAATTCAGGTTCTAGGCGATATATTATTATACGACCATATAAATCTGAAGATTTGTTGAAGACAAGGCGATAATTGCTACATTTTCTGGGTAAATGAACATTAAAGGACTGAACTGAACTGTTATCTTGAGGGTAAACAAGAAATGCATATTTGTTTTTCTCATCACCGTCCCAACCTTCGATTGTAACCTCTGTACTTGAAAATCCTCCTTGGAATTGTATTCTGAATGTGACAAGGCGATGTACTTCATGCAGTTCAAGGTGGATCCACTGGGGGCTACCACAGTCAGAATTCCAACAAGTTTCAGGATTTTTGTCAAATAAATGAACCTTTCCAAAGTCCTTATAATTGTTATTAAGTGTAGAACTGACTGAACAGCGCTTCACACAGTCCAACATTTCATGAGAGTATAAGTTATTGTGATACACAGCTCAACGAAATTATTTTAGAGCAACCTAGAGTATAACAGAAAAACAGATTGCAGTTATGAAAAAATTTATCGACAACAACTAATCACAATACATAGGAATGATGGAGTTCAAAATACTTTAAGACAAATACAAGCCCGTTGGTATTATCACTATCTGAACACAAACGTGATATATTTTCACCAATAGATAGGTAACACAAAAACAATACAATGTACACAAAAGTGACGAACGAAAATGATCATAAAAACAGGCAAGCAATAAATGAGAATTAATCACTTCAAGTTACTCCCAGAGAAAGAATAAAGGATGAAATCGCACCATGATTGCCATCGATTAGGATTTTCATTTAGTTTAGTTAAGTACGACTCATTTACCGTGTAGCAAACAATGAGCCACACTAATTGCATGAGGAGCGATGGCACTACTCACTTAGGTTGAAGTAGGTGCAGTGTTTAAGCTAATAAGCTACGAATCAAGGAGCATAAAACAACTGTTTTGTTCCGTCCAGGGACTCAGCCTACTGAATATATCAGAGATCGTCTCAAGCCAGTGACAGATTATTTCAATGATGCCTACATGATCATCGAGACACTGTCACTATCCATGTGTCATTTTTCAGCTCAGTGCACACGTCCATATATTTTCGTAGATACATGTGCCAACTAGAAGTTCGACGGAGATTTTTTAAGTTATGCTAAAAATATATGTCTTCAGTGAGTGATGTTTGGCATAAAACGTCTTTATTGGAAGTAGGACCGGTACTTCCGAACAAAAGCTACAATAGCCATTTACTTCCTGGTAATGCAGTAGTTAATTTCTGCAACACTCCATGTGCGGTTATAGTGGTGAATGACATCCTATTCCATAAGCCCTAATAGACTCACAAAAAAACTATAACAAACAAACAGGAAAAGAAATAATTACAAAACTAATTAGAATTTAGTGGATCTGAAATATACCAAGTAGTGAATGCACCTGCACCATGCAGAACGATTTTGATCCATCTCAGTCTGCAACAGTGTTGTGGACCTCCACCTGGTAGCTAGACACTTCATGGATTGTTGCCATTTTGATTGGACCATCCCGAACTCTTCTTCAAACTAACGCGATAGCTTCTAATTTTTTTCGACAGGAAAGACGAAGTTTAGGTGTGTGCTCAACTACTTTACTCCCCATCTTTAGACTTCAAGTCAGTGTCGGACGGTCCTGCAGCTTGGCCTAGACTGGGATCGAAAAAAACGCCAAGGATTGCGAGGTTTATGCTCAAGATGTTCAGAAGATTGCATTTTATCATTTTCATCTGGTCTAAGTTGATGAGACCGTCTCCCAGTAACAAGTTAAGCTCTAAGTCGTTAAGTCCTGCAGGGTCACATTAATCAGAACATCTATTATGAAATTACACAAAAGCGAGTACATTTGACATCCATAGAGTACACAAATCCAGATAACTCACCAAAGCTTCAAACACACTTTCATGTGTTTGAATAGAGTGCCTTGATTAGTGAGATAAGCATCCTTTACTCTTCCTTCATAACCAAATTATGCGAACGCAAGAGATGCGTTCACAACTTCAGTGCATATTTAATTAGTTTTCCACTATACGCTATGCAATTTTCCAAGGAATTGATGAAAAAGTGTAGAGAAATGTTCCCCTTCTCATATGCAGTAACATTAAAGTTACAATTACGACACGATGTACCTCAGATTACAATCTGAGGTATACTGCTTAACATGTAAATTCAGTATGACGTGGAAATACTTTGGAACTGAGTTCACTGAAAATTCCTGCATTATGTATATATTCATATTGTCTAAAATAGAGCTTACTATTATTATACTTCATATCATATTAGTCCTATTTATATTACACAAAATGTAGTTCAAGCTGCCACACTACGTAGCACAAAGCGAAAATCAATATAACCAGCAAATACATGCGGCAGAAATAACAGTAAGATGAATCTGTATCTGACAGATTACTGCAATAGAACACAAGAAACTTACATATCAAGTACGAAATTACCACGCTCCTACCTCGCGCCCTTGGAACGGTGGCCACTTAAGCGAACGAATGCACCAAAGACCTTGAAACGTGAAAGCAGAGCAAATCAGTATAATCAGGTAAATAACTTTGTTTCCGCAAAAAATGATGAGGAATACGTGAATATTTCCAACAGGATATCTAACTAATGTTAATGGATGACTCAAAACTGTAACAGCCCAAAATGAAACAATCTAGTTAACGCATGAATGACCTTGAGCAGCCAGTTAGATAAGTCTACTGAAATTGTCTGTCACGTCCAAGTTCATTGGTGGAGTGAGACGCCTGAAGGTCATTTTCGCACATGTTAGTCGGCCATGTTAGATTGCAGTTCTGTAGCCGTTCATTTACACATTGGTTTTTGCGTTTATCCTGCAGTTATTCACAACTCATCTTGACGCTCATTGTTCACAAATGTTGCGTTTCACCTCGTTTTTGTTTCCGTTGCTGTTGAAATGAAATATTCCGTTGGTTTCGAAAGTTTTTACCACCAGGTCATTGCATTCATTCCATTATAATTGTTTCATACATTACTTTCATGCGTAGTTTTAGTGTTTTAGTTATTTTTCAGCTATTTATGAATTAGTACTGTGTAGAAATTTCGGAAGTCATGCGCATGAACATGTTTGGCTGGCAGAAGCTGTTGCTACCAGTTCATTTGTTGGTTACAGGTCTTGTTGCTGGCTCATTTGGTTACTTAACATGTAGAAATCTGGAAAACTTATGTCTTTCACGTTCATGTTTACAGCATGCAACAATCTACGAGTGAATCTGGTGAGGAGAGCACGATGAGAGTTGATATTAGCATGGTTTTCAGAGAACATAATCTTGAAGAATTTAGAACCTGCGTTGAAGTTGAAAAAAGCTTTGAAGCTTTTCGAAAAGGTAAATATGCCATCAATGTGTCTGTCATCAGTTAAAAATCAGATCTAAATTAAACAAGTTTGAGCCACATGAGAAGTGTGAATCTGTTGTGCTTGTGTGTATTTTTGGGAACAAAAATAAACTGGAAAGCAATCAAAAACCCGTAAAGGGTACTAGATGTACTAAATGTACTAGATCCAAATACATGAACTAGAACTGCATGTAGTAAAGACAGTGTTAACAGCCATTCGATATTTTGCAAAACTATTTACCAAGTGGATAACATATAGTGATCTGGTGAGTGTTAAAGGTAAGACTTTAATTGACAAGAATAACGTTTCGGGTTAGGGTCTACGATCGGCAGTTTTCTCGAAGTTGTGGTTTCTCCATGACTATAAATACAGATGTTCATGATTTTTAAAAACACCATAAATAAATTTCCTTTGAACCAGTGGTCTTTTTCTTGGCGAAACATCTGTTGATACGATTAGACGATTAGTTAGCAAAGTAGAATATTCTGTGGATGAGGATCGCAGTCCTTGTGTTTTGGATTAATTTCGCGCATCTGACTGTTATAACTCTGTGAACATAGCTTTTTACTCATGGTGCATTATGATATCTAGAAATCATAAGCACACTATCTTCGGTAAATTTATTTTTACTTCTTAAGTGACTGCAAACAGTGAGTCAATTGAGGTGATAGGATGAATACCTCTAAACGCTTCAGTGGAAACTAGGGTATATTTACGTTTTTCGACTAAGAGACGATCTTTTTATCAAGAAAGTTCTCAGGATGTCCGCTTTTACTTCGTAATTCAAAGATAACGTCAAGTTGCTCACTAAGGTAGTAGCTGTAGGAGATTACCTTCAGCGGAAACCATTTTAAGGTAGCTACGTAGCTTTACGTTATGCGTCATAAAAGTAAGCAGCGTAGGTTAATCGTGTCTAAATATATTCAGCGTTGTATAACTGGTCAAATCGTAGTTCTTACATACTAGTTAGTCTTATAAATAATGAATGTACAGTGCAAGCGCTTACTTTGATTTGCATACCTAGCTCATAAGCATTATGCCTGGTATACATCTAGGCCTTATACTCTGTGTGATGAGTTATGTAAAAAACGCTACTATCGTGATTAAAGTAAGGAGAACAGACCAAGCAGAATAAAGTGGCGTCATTAAAGTCCAATAATAATAACAATCTACTTAAATTCCAAAGACAATACTTATAATACAGAATGGAATTCTCAGCATTTATCACAATATTGCATCTGAATTACCTAAAATATAAATTAACCACAGGAATTCAAACACAGTTACGATATTAAGTCAGGAATATTCGAGAGAGGATTATAAACATAAGAATAATAACAGTAAAGCTTGATGGGGTAGGGATGGGGAGAATGATCTACTCACTAGCGCAAATAAGGTTAGTCAGTTCGTCCCTGACACTATTCTGATCATATACAATACGTGCTTCTTAATGTAAACAGTCAGACGAAATATTCTCTTAGAAATCGCTAAGACCAGGATAGGTAAGAAGGAAGAATTAACCAGAGATACTTAACGTCAGACTTCATTTCTATATCACTATCATCAATTATACAACGGTCATAGAAAGTAACAGCTTCATTCAACTTTCTTTCACATCTAAAACTGAAATTAACACTCAGACATTTGGATGGATTCAGTTTAACTCCATTTACTGACTTCTGATAGAAGGCTGTTCATCTTACTACAGTCTATCCGGGAGTTAACGGGTATTGAAGCAGTAAGGTCATCCCCGTACCGCAGTTGTTGATCATAGCATCATGGGTGAGGATATAGGATATGATGTGTTAAATTTTCCGCGCCTCAGGTTTTCTCGTCTTTCATTGGCTGGAACAGTGTTGGTTAATTTGATATTTAATTTATCCTTGCTAGGTGATGTCGTGTGCAGGTTCGTGTGGTTGAGGTATGCGTTGTTTAAAAGCATATTTGATGAAAATAAATGTAAATTTTGAGTATTCTAACGTTTTCCTTTACTTATTTTATGCATGTACAAGGCTTGGTTTATCATACACTCGGTTTGTTGGCCTATCGGTTGCTGGCGATGTCAAGGAACCCGTGAGTTCTTTGGCTTTTCTCGATTTTAGGTTATACGTATAGCATTTTATTGGTGGATATTGTTCAGTGATGCATTTAAATATTGCTTTTTCTACGGAATAATATTGAAACAGTCGCGAGACAGATGGATATTAATTGACAAAGCCTCTTTAGTTTATTGCAGGTAGGCAATGCGAGTGACAACTTTATTTATCCTGTAATATTGTGTGCATAATTCTATTTTTGTTTACTCTTCCACCTTTTGTAGTTAATCATGTGCTGCATAGGTGTCAACGATGGACATGGTCTGGCGACTCGTGCTCATCTAAAAGTGGGAGAAGTAATCGCACAAATGGACCATTTTCTTAATATGTAAGCAAACTAATGTTGTATTATAATAAATATGAACTTTTCATATAAATCTTGTTTTCTTTCCATTCCTTGCTACGCTTTGTGAGCACGGCATGCTAGACCGGTGCTCCCTAGGACTTGAACTCGTTACTATACTTAAGTGTAATTTTGTAGGAACACTATCGACCGATATGCGTGGTGAATTATAAGTAGTTTAGTGGACCTTAAGTCTATGTCTACAGTTACGTGAAAACGTCTCATGGTCATACGCAAGTCTGTAGGGAACAATGACAACAACAGTTAGAACTTAGCCAGTCCCTGTGATAACAGGTGTTAACCAATACTGTAAAATTAAGTTTGCACATAACGAATAAATAAGTAGGTTGAGCTGTAGCAGTCGTAGTAACATTCCGCTTACGTTTAATTATTCAGTCAAATAAATCATCAAGTTTCATTGATAAGTCTGACATCTGCATCGTCATGCAAAAAACTTAGTTTCACTCAGATAGAATAAGAAAAGTATTGTAGGCAGGATGTTAAATCTATTTAATGAAAAAAAAATAAGCAAATGTTTTTACACAATTGTTTTTCGTAATTATTTCGCCCATGTTGAATTGCTGTGACTAAGTTGACTGACATTACCGGATATCTGTAAATAAGTGAACAGAGTGTATGTTTTTATATCGCTGAAGTAAGGAAGAAGTAATATTAGAGTTAAATGCTTTATATTTCCATACCGTTCCTGAAAAAAGTTCATTTTCATTTTTCATTCTTTGGTGATGACAGCATTCTTCTGTAGTTTTCAATGTCACACAGAGTTTGTTCGTCTTACACAGTATAGCGGCAAGCAAATAATAAGTGTCAACTTGTAAGCCATTCACAATGAACACTGTACAGAAAACTTCATCACATCTTCATTTTAACCAACTTTTCCTTCACTCACAGAAGCATGCAGTCATTACATACACTCAAGCATTGTAACCTGAACATCACAAAATCCCTACAGATAACTTCTTTCATAATAAATGATTTAAACATATGAGCCATAAGTGCTTCTTCCATATCCTTCAAAGCCACAAGTAATTCATTAAGGATCTCAGAATATCTTAGTGATCTGAACAGGAACAATTGTTAAGACTGGGATAACTTATGTAACAGGTGCAGTAGTTGTAGGATACACCTCCTAGCTACTAATCGACAGAAAGTTGATACTAATTTTAAGTAGTTTGACATTTCATGAGGACCACCTACACTATTCCTTGTTGCCCGATGCACACTGATCTGATACCATTTTTGACAATCAACAATTCAAGCCTTCTGACATTCCAAGTGCAAATGTCAATTAAACTAGTATCATATCTTCGCCTAAGCAATTTTAAATGGGAACTTCATCAAAGTAGATATAATCTACAGGAAGTGCAGCACCCTGTCTCATACATCGCATGATCTCTTCCATGTGTTATGGAACATTTCATTCATCACAGATGATAAAAGAAGTGTCCTGCATCCTCAAAACACACATCTAACTTATGTCTGTAGGCTATTACTCTTTCTAATGCACGATTCTCATAGAATGACTGGGATGACAACAGCCATTGCCTGCAGTCAATTTACAACCTTAAGATCTGAAACAACTCACAAAAAACAATGCCTCAATGCTCTAAAACCCTAATAATAGACTTTTTATGCGACATTTCAAAATGATGACTTTTTTGATTAGTAATTCGTCTAGGCTGTCATGACAATTTTACGCATTGCTACGAACACAATACAGAAAAATATTGCATTTTTCGGCTACAGAAGCCTAAAACTAGTCAAATATAATCTATTTTCACAATACTGAGCGATTAGAACGTCTCCATATGCGTGAACGCGATAACCCATACAATGCGCGAAAACACATCGTCATAGAACATAGCCTCACTCTAGCATCATATGATTCAACGGCATATTGGAAATAAATAGAAATTGCTGCTTAGCTCACCGCCAAGTAAACAGTCTATTTGATGGTGTCGCTGAATATTAACAGATTAATAAAGTAGCTATCAACCCTAATTCACTACATTTACTTGTAATACATATTTGGCGTTTAGCAGTATACAGGCTTGCAACTGGCTAGATAAGGCGACTTCAGCATATCGAACAGTGCAAAATTATTATTCAGCTTCTTAAATCCTACTCAGTTATAACAATGTGCTATTCTATAGAATTAGACAAGAAATCTCACAAATGACTAAAGTAACAGTCTCATAATACTATAGTAAATCTCCATCCCACTAATTAAGCTTAACATGCATTGAACCGAATTCACATATTGCAAAAGCAAATAGTATAGCGACGCACTGAAAAAGTCTAGAGGAAGTAGAAATCAAGAGTATTTTGAACATTTAATTAATTTACAAAAGAAAATCCTGATGAAGGGTATTCTGCATATTAGCATACACTATGAATACACTGATTCTGTTTATGCTAAGTAATATCTCATGCAAATAAATGTATTTGTCGTTCACAGCTGGTATTTATATTGACATCGTAAGCACCAATATACCTCATATGTTTTCCAGTATTACAGGATTATAAGCAAATTTCAAGACAATCTCTGAAAATTCCATACTGTTGAGGCGTTATTCTCTCATCAAGCTTACTTGCAGATAAACTTCGCACTAAAAACTTTTACATAAAATGAGGTATTGCAAATGTGTAGCCCAGAAATTGATCCACAATCTCAGTAATGTCTAGTGAGCATGGTTTTGTGAATCCTACAAAAATAACGCTCTCATATTTAGGAAACTGTAGCCGTCAAATATAAGCTGAACTTGCCTCAACAGTTATGCACAATGTTAACAAGATAGAGAAACACTTAAGCCATTGTATGATACACAGACCTGTTGTGTTCATGAGGATAATAATGTCATATAATGCAACCTAGACATTTAATCGTGATACTGCATCTGTACTGCTTTATGCAAATGGAAATCTCAGGAGAAATTCACCTCCACTACTGTTGATCAAAAATATTGCAGCATTAAGTAGACACTGTCAGTGGAAATTGTATAACAGGCAATAGATTGATAATAATGATAATAAATCTGAATAGATTCAGTTCGCATAATCACCACGATTCATGTGTATAATCATATCGTGTAATGAATTAATGCATTGAGTGCAACAGCAAGGAAATTTAAACGAGTGATTGCCTTCTTCACTGCACTGCACTTGCAATAATCATGACAACCTTTTACGTTTGTTAGCCTATCAGTCAGCTAAGCAGAAAATGGCACAATATTAATACAATTGAGATATTTTTGTGCATTGTATTCACATAACCCATAGTACACTGCACCAATCAGTGCAAATATATATGAAATCCACTTAGAGATAACCTCTCAACTTACGATAATTCCCGTCCAGTCACAGATAGAGTGAAAAGCACATATACATGATAACTTAGGTTCCCACAGACGATTCTGTTGGCATTTATAGGTGATTTCCAAGTACTAACAGAGTCCTTTTGTCAAAAAGTACTGTTCTTCACACGAAAATAGGCTGCATTGATATCCTGAGACGTGAAGTCTTCTTTGAATGACACTATGCCAAAAGGTGCTGCTTCTAAATAAAGTAGACTATTTATGTAGATGACACTACCCTCTGACTATCCTATCGCCCTCATTATAGCGAAATTTTGATGCAGTCCGCCTGGAACACTAATCGTTGCAACCAATATGCTATCAGTGTGTCACAGTCAAATTACATGACACGGACACCATTATAACCAGCTAGTAAATGGGAATTCCTACCAACCTGGATAACATAACACAGTTTTATTAAAACTTATTGACAAAACATTTCCAAGCGAAATTTAAACAGAACGTGATATATAAGTCCAGTCGATAAGTCTAGTAGCTTTACTGCATATCCCCGCTAATTGTAGCGTCGATGTCCGTTGCTATGTTGGTTTAGTAACAAGTATCAACCAACATCTGAATTCGAAGAAACTTAGATACACGGGGGTTCTCTTGCTTTGAAAATCTAAAAAGTTTTACATGGAGTTTCTTTCTATCTATCTACAGGAGTGTCTGATAAAACGAAATTCGCATTCTTACTGATATGAGCCATATATTTTCCTTAAAATAAACAAACGTGACTTCTCTATTTGCATACTCTGGAGGACTTCAGCTATTAAGGGAGTAATAGAACCTCCTAAACATGGAGAACTATTTTGAGAGTATACAAGGTAACAACTAAGAAATTATAACGTCTCTACAAGTCCGTCATATTCATATTGGATATTGAATGTGTTTTTTTTGAGTGTCATTTACACTGGTTGTCATATCTCTTTTAAACGCACAGTTCGAATTATTGCATCAGTTGGGGTATTTGTAAGACTCTATTATGGGTGATAATGAAAACTTCGGTTCTTCCAACGAACGAATACATTCCTTAAACAATGCTGCAGTATGTGAGCATTCGGATGAAATGAATTTGTCGGGTATCAATCTGCTCATGAATAATACGAGAAATGAAGATGATCACAATGATTTGATCGTTTTAGATCCTGATCACGTACAGTGACCAATTTAACTTGTGGTTTATAATTTTCAGCCTTTAATGGTCCGTTTCCAAGAATGCCTGAAGACTATGCTCTTGAAGCACACTGATAAAATTGAGATATATTTAAGAGAAAGAGTGAGCTTAAATAGGTATTTTAATAATATACTAGGATGAAGAATTGAAGAGAGAAAAGTCTCTTCACATGGAAACTGGATGTGAGTTATACAATCTACAGCAAGAGCTCGCAAAGTAACTATTGCATGCTTAATTTTTTGATCATTTCTTAATGTGAATTACATAATACGATAGCTTAAGTATGAAATATACTGTTAATTCTTTTTTTCTGAGGTTTGGTCTTCAAACTATCGTAGAACATCTTAAGTACAAAAATCCTGAATGCTCTCAATTTCACGATGGGGAAACTTTACTATCGGTCGGTTTTTGACATATAACTTTGCACACATGTGCGGCAGTTCAAGTCGCCACACTCCATGTAGCACACAAAGGAAGAGAAGGAAGTAGAAGAAATGCATAATATAGACAGTAAACAGAGCTGTGAGACAAAGGTATAGTAATAACGAAGAACAAAACAGTTCAATTGGAAATTTCAAGGAGTGGATGCATCTGCGGCACTGAGAACGATTTTGAGCCATGTCACCAATTGTTTCCAACCATTGGTTTTTACCGTCCCGAGGACCCCAACCAGGAGGTCTACACCTTCCTACGTGGCTTAGATTAACTGTTGTGGATTTCATTGACTGGTGCCATGTTTTCGTTTGACCGCCGCTAGCTCTTTTCCAGCCTGGCCTCTTCGTTTCTTTGTTCACGAGGACTTATAGTCATTTTACCACTATGAAACTTTTGCACCTTATCATATTATGAGTCAGTCGAGATAAATCTCTCCGACTTATTCACATCTAATGAAGCTACAGAAATCCACTTTTCGGTTGCCTATTTTGTATGAATATTGTATGATAAATATTTCCGACATAATCATATAAACGTTTGGTTATCTTCTCAGAATGGTTACCTCATGTTCTCATCTAAGAGTTGGATACAGGAGAATTTCGTTGGTTTTCTACGTCTATCTATTCGCAGATTAGGTCCAGTGGTCAGTTTACTATTCAGATGGACCGGTTAACTCCATGGAGCTTATGCATTACTATTTAATATATATGTATATAAAGTAGAAGTCTTTGTGGTAATAGTGGATGCAAAAATGTTTCAAAGTCAGAGGCAAAAACAGTCTTTATTACCACAATAGAAACGAACAGATCATTGCAGCAAGCATATAGAAGCAAGAATCACATAAAATTCAAAGAACTCAGGTCTTTGGGCGCTTTTTTGATCCCCTGCAAGAAATAATAATCGGTGTGGTCAAGTATCACATAAAGTCTAGAAAAAACGTTTAATAACAATGAATTATAGGATGTAAGCCGAATTAATTTACCTCATTGTAACGCCACCGTAGATATTAATGAAACGAATAGAATTAGGGGAATATAGGTAATTGTCTATCCATATTCGTGTTGATGCAGTATGTTTGTCTAACATACTCATTTACCCAAAGAGTACAGAGCGGACAAAACTAGTTTTCAGAGTGTAGATATATTATTATGGGCTAATATCTGTTGAATAGGTATAGCAATTCATTCCACTTAAAGATTTCACTCGTCACTCATGTACCTTGACATTGAAACAATTCACCCCCGAAGCTTAAGTTAAGGAGTTAATTCCTTAAAAGCCAGCAGATATATCCATTTGGGATCTAACTTTATCTCGAAATGGACATGCGAGGTTCTTCATTCATATGAGTTTGCTAGCTACTCCTTTAGCGGAGTTCATGATAATACAACATCCATTACAAAATAGCAGACAAAACGGTTTACATATAACAGCAATTCGTTAAAACTTTGTCCAAAATAGGGTTTCATAAATTTCATTTTCCAGATTAATTATAGATCTTCATAGAGATTTGAAGGAAACTGTATACTTCCGTTCTGTACATGTGTTGCTCAGTATCAATTTAGATGTCCGAATGATTTCGTGAGGTCATAAAAGAATCACTTCATTCTTTACAACACCAAACATGCCATTTATGTTACTGGAGATTTCTCAATATGAATATTATCACTTTGGACGGATAATGTGCGTAGACTGAGACTTGGTAAATGTCTTTTTAACGCCATTACTAAGTAGATGTCAGATTTACAGTGTTACCTAATTGTCCTACAAACTACTTCGGCTTCAATCCTAATGGATATTTATCACATCAAATCTACAGTTGGGAAGGTCAACTGACCTCTAATTCAGTTTGCCTAGAAAATAAGTCAGAAGAGAACATTGCATTTGCTGAATTATTACCTATTATTATTACCAGTGAATACCCCATAATTCTAAAATGGACTTAATTAGTTACATGTTTTTACATACGTATCTTCAGTATACAAATATGTATAAAGTTTCTTCTCCAAATAATTAATAGTATATTTCAGTCATGTATTTCAGTGATTGAATCAATTTAGCAGTGTTTTCATGCATGCTGGATTTATATATATTTTTTTGATGCACTTAGGATCATGAGTCCTCACTGTGAGCAAATTAATTCCATAAAATTTTCCTTATTATTGTCCATATAATATATATTACCACAGTTGCAACTTTTCTAAGAGCTTTTAGCATTCCACAGTTCCTCTGAATGTATGAAAAACCGGTTTACAGCAATAATCAGTATTCTGGAAAACATTCTTGCAAATATCAATGTTGTTCGAACTGGTTTGAAGTGACAGTTTAATGTTTTCTACTAATTATTTATTTTGATCACATAAGTGGATGAAGCAGATTTTTGTTTCCCGAAGTTACATGAAAAGATACTTGTGGATTTTTGTATGAATGGTATAGGAGTCTTCTCGTTGGCAACATTATGTGCTGAAGTCAGCTGAAAATGGATGTCCTACACTTATAAATCACAATGTTTGGTACTCATGTATTTTTTGGTATATATTTAACAGATTTTTCTAAGTTGAGTGAAGTTAGCATCTCAGCGGAAAATTAATTTCTTTAAGAAAGACGGAATCACGTTATTATTCGAAGTGAGCAAAGAATCACTTCAAAAGTCTTTATTTAGGAACCATGGCATCTACTTTTTCCTCTGCTGAATCAGGCACATGAGTTTGATGATAACCTTATTAAAAGCCACAAATACATATTTCATCTTTTCAATTATCTGGTATCTGACTGTTCTAGGCCCTAAATATAATAATCCTCACAATTGGAGTCAGAGAAGTTACAAGATGAAATATCATTAAAGTCATAAAACATCTTCGAAAAACCAGCGTGAGAGGTTAAAGCATGGAAAATCTTGTTCACCACCTGAATAAATGTTTTTGAATGTATGAACGTTTCATTTAACAGACTAATCTCAAATCAAATTGGCAGTTTTCAAATTACCATAAATGGTAATCAAGAAAACAGGCACACTTCTTTAAACTATGTACTACTGACTGATTGAGGTGAGTAGCTGTATACAACTCACACCAACCAGCAGTGCTTGCCAGCGAGATTGAAGTTATCCGACACGATAGCGGTTTCGGTCATTTGGGGATGAGCTGATCAGCGGTGTACCTGGTCTGATTGATCTAAAAACTTTTGCACAAGGTTATCATATCTAAGTAGCATTTAAGATCACTTTTAGCAGCCAAAAGCACAACATGATTACCTTTACTGCTTTCCTGATATGAGGCAAACTTGCAAACTATACCAGGTAAACAGTAAAGTTGCCACCAAAACGATCTGCATAGCCTTCATGTCTTTTATTGCTGTTTTCGGTGGTTGTGTTTCATCAGTGTGATAGTTTGTTGTATCGATAATCCTATGGACAGGTAGAATTTAATTCTCCACAGCGAAGCAAGACGTATTGAGTAAAACTATTTTGAACTTTATGTATGCTGAACTGAAGTGCTTGGTCTGTCTTGACATGTTGGCTCCTGGCACAAACGGTTTAATGACGCCTTAACATTAACACGATTTCACTTGGTGGAGGCTAATTGTAGTATCTTGGAGTCGTGTTTTGTCTTGTTTGGGACTCTTCAACGAGTGAAGGTGTACTGTCTGGAATCCTAACCAATTCTGCATATAGTTAAAACTCGAATTCGTTATTTAATAGATTATTGGGATAATAGGAGGGTATAAGATGATAGTTTTAAGATCCAATATAACTTGGAGAGGGGAGGGATTGATAACGAAAGCTTTATTTATTGAATCAGCTACAAATACGTGAAACAGAAATGATTCAACACCTGTCCAGGGCATCTGTAAAATTCCACTACCCCTACGAATAATAAGAAGGACTAAAGAAAACTGTGAAACTGAAGTTTCGAAGTTGTTTAGTTATACTTGATATGATTATGAACAATAAATTCATTTCGGAACGTCATCTAGTAAATAATACTGTTCCACTATGTGATACATCTAATAAACAAATTAATACGAAATTACTACCACAAGTTTTACACATTAATTTGTATATTATTTGTTCTATACAGTGAAATTTTGATGTACATAATTAATGTAGTAGGTATGATAATAAGATTTTCAGTACATAAACAATATTTGTTTTACAAACCTCTAATTGTAGATTTCAACTACAATTAGACAAGAAGCATAATGAATATACAGAACATCATAGGAATTGCGAAAATGTGCAAAATAAATTAACAAATCTTCGTGAAAGTTATCAGAAATCGGTGAAAACAATGTTTGAAGAAACCAAGAAAATGCATTCTATGCGAGATGAAGTAGATGTATTGTGTTTAAGATTGTACTACCTCAATAAAGCTAAACAGGATGTTAACGGAGACTTAAAAGTGTTGAAAAGAGCAGCTGAAAAGGTGAACTCAGATTTAACCAAGGTCAGTCCCGCAATCAGTTGTTGTCGTTGTTTAATGCAACCAACTTATTGGAAAAATAATAACACTATCAACCTGTTGTTTAATATTTATACTGAGATTACTTGTTGTTCTTATTTGTTCATATATCTTGGGATATCTCAAATTTATGTTCCTCTAATTAGTCAAATTACTTTTTTTTATTAAGAAACTTTATCTTAATAAGACGGAATCATAGTGTATATGTTTAGCTTGCTAAACACTAAAAACGAAAAGCCTGCATGGATCAAAATTGACAACTAAACAGAAAACATGAGTGGAAGATGGATAATAATATAAATAGTGAAGATAATTGGAAGTAGCAGTTACGATTTTCACCCAGTTGGAAGTCAATCTTAGTAACATTAGGGGGTATTTGCATTCAATGATTATCAAGAAGTCCCCAGCTAATATCATACAGGCTGAATTAGACTGCAGTCAGTAACTACAGTGGTCGCTAATATGTTTTTCGGTGTAATGCATATTAATTGTTTGTAAGAAGTAATATAAACGATGAGTAAGTTTTAAGGGAAATAATTCTTTGTGCTATTACATTAGTTCGTTGGGTATTGGTTGCATTCATAACATTCTACTTATTACTTGGCATTCAAGAAAGTTGTTGCAAGGTCCTTGATCGACCATAATTTACACAAACCAAAAAACACTTAAAACTTCAACCAGATTTCTGTCATCTTCCTGCTTCATTATGCCATGAGTCGAAATGACAGTGAAGTGCATTTGTTTTAAATTTTTGCAGTGTTTATCAGTTAGTCAGCCAGTAGACTCGAAATTTAATGGGAAAAAAGACAGTTTAACATGACAATTTTCATCTTTTTTTCAAATTTTACTAATCATTCTTTCAAAAACAGAAGATAGTTAACTTAGATATAAAAAGAAAGTATTGTCAGTAACTTAGTTTTTGGATTTCTGATCCACAGTGTCTATATTGAGGAAACACATATTTGTGTTTCAAATATTAGTTTTCCTTTTTCCATGGAAAACAACAGGAGAGCTGAACTACAGACTGACTATAATCAATGAATTCGTTACAGAAGATGAAGAGAGTATTCAAATAATATCAACTCAAGTATAAAGCAAACTTCAACCTTCATTTTATGTGAAGATGAAAAAGTGCATTCATAGAAATCCCTTGTGAAGGACTGATCCAGATGACAAAATAATCTGTTCATTTGTTGACACAAAAATAAAAGACATTAAATAAAAGTATATACGGAACTGAAAGTTGGTCAAATTATTTATTAAACGGATAATATTCCACGTATAAGACTATAATGAGTTAGATTATTCAATATGGTTAGAAACCATTTGTTGTTGTATATACAACGTAGGTTTTAATTTTTCACAATGCTATGGCCGTTTTTAAAAAGAGTGCCATAAAACAGAGAGGTAATAAATGACGACACACTCTAAAACTCCATATAAGCTTTTTTGTTTCATGAAGCTTACCGCCATAATGTAAAATTAACAGCGCGGTATTTCCTGTAAAATTTATTGCTTCGAATAGTGCGCTTTGAAGGGTATTCTAGTTTTACCAAATATCTTGGTAAAAGCTACATCTTTCATAATACTGCTGAAATATTCTTTTCAGCAACCTTTTAGCTGTAATTGCAGTACATTAGCCGAAAATAGAGGTCACATTTTTGCAATAAATCGATATCAGCAGGCACTAGATCATCTTGCGAAATTTATGTAGCGATGAAAAGAAAAAACAGGAAGGATTGAGGCACAGCCAAGGGTTCAAAAACCAAATTTTCGTCCTTCAGAGAGACCTGGGACAAAGGAAAACTTATAGTCGTCAAAACTTCTTGTATTTGTTACCATGAAGACATCATACACTCCCATCGATTAAGAGGTCTTGTGCACCTAATGAACTCATATGGATTGGTTGTTCAAACCAAAGACGCTAACAAAGTGAAGTCTTTGATTTTCAGGAGCAAAAATCTGCTTCTGTTGGACATCCTACTGGCCTCTGTAAATTTTATGATGGTTCCAAAACGACTGGTCTTCACCTACTCCTAAATCAAAGTTAAGGAGTGAAGTATTTGTATTTTCCGGACAATTCACATGTCTGAAAACTTGCACTAATCATTGTGGTCTAGTTTCTGGTGCACGTTTCTCGCTCGACGATATCGAGTCAGTCATGTTGGGACTTGTGTACCGTCCAGAAGTCCTCTCCATCTTGCTTTACAGCTGTGAGAAGTAGTCACTGAATTTCGGCGATTTCAGGAGATTGGGCGATTTTAACGGCGTGCGCCTTTGTTAGATCTCTCATGTGAAGTGAAGCAATGTGGTTTTTAGTTGTATCAAAGCTGGTTGTGGGATACACTTCAAGGAGTCGAAGGAAATCAATAAGTCCGGTAAGTTCCATTATGGGTAAATTTTGTTTTGATAAAGTCTCACAGTGTTATACGGTAATGTTTACTGATGACGTTTCAAGCACCTTGATATGGTTATGAGCAATTAATTGTGCTCGAAACGTCATCAGTAAACATTCTCGTATAACACTGTGAGACTTTATCAAAACAAAATTTACCCATAATGGAATTACACTCTACCACAGTGCACAAGTTTTGAGTCCGGTAAGATGCACCCTTCAGGACGGCTAGGGTACGTGTTCCGTATATCAACCCATCGGATTCCTGAGATAAGACAATTGTTAGCTGAAATATGATTATGACTGCTTATCAATTTGTTATTTTGTCTTTTGTGTCTTTAGTTTGAAGAAGAAAAGCTGCAACAGGATCTTTTGGTTGATCGTATACAAACTAAGGTGGACCAGCTGAAAGAAGATATCGAATTATATGAAGCCCAAATTTCAGCTCAAGAAATCGAAATGAATACTGGTCAGAATCTATTATATGAAGCGGAAGCCCAAATCGTTTCTATCAATGTGGACAAATCTCACTTGTTAGCTCAATGGAAAACTAGTTTACTTGGTTTACAGCGTAGAAATGAAGCATACACTGCATTGTTGAAAGCCTATAAGTAAGTTTCATCTTCTTACTGAAGCTGTTTGAAGTGACTAATGATACATTTGCGTACAAAATATTTAACTGTTTTGTAAGCTTTGTATTAACGTTGAACAGCTTGTGCTGGAACTATTGGAGACTGAGTAATTTTACTATCTTTACAAGTGGAAGAAGTAATAAAGTGTACGGTACACGTTTTCTGTGTGGTTTAGAGGTTTACTTAGTTTAAGTTAATGTCTAATGAAATATCTATTGGTCAGGAAATCAGCTCAAATTACTATATTTGGCAACTAAATTGACAGTTACTAATTATGTAGCTGGAGATAAATAGTAATCTAAAAACAAATAATTAGTTAAAACTTGTTTTCGTTATTGATAAAATGATTATTTAGAGTTAATCATTATTGTTTGTGATGGGAAACAACTGAAGTAGCCCCGAAAATCAGCTTCCTCATTACTGGTTACAGTAACAAGAGCAATTTTTGCATATGTTTTTGATGCTGAGATTTTGAATGATCTCTTACTTTATCTGTATCGGCCTGAAGTATGCATTTAGTGAAATCAATGAGAAGAATGATGCTAGCTACATATCAGTTGATATGTGGCTATTTATCTGCATATTCTTTCGTGCCTGACTTTGTGCAATGCATATATTTTTTACTGTTGGCTTACTGTTTATTCCATGTAATCTACTTTGCTAAAGGTGTCAGACTGCCTATGCTCACTGACTAAGCTTCAAAAATTGTGGAAATTATATATACATATATATATATATATATAATATTTTTATCGCCCAAAAGTGTTACATCCCCATAAAATACTCACTGGTGTTTTTTGACTTTACGTCGCGAGTGGAACATAGAGCTTTAATCTTGAGCTGTGAAGTTTCGTTAGCGATGGTGTTGTTTTTACGGCAGGTGTTTGCAAGCCACACGCCCAATGTTCCATCTTCTCTGGTATGACTGACAGTTGAACTAGGTTTGGGAGCCAGTCGGCTGGGAATCGACCTCAGGCTGCTTGTATGGTTTGCAAGCATTATAACTCTGAACCACTGAAGCACTTTCCGATGGTAACTTGTATATTTGACAGCTTTCTGTGCTATTAAGCACAATACTTCCATTGATAATTAACAAATGTATAAAGAATGTCCACGCAATAGTTTAACAAAAATTTCAGCAGTGCTGAGGAGCGTAATGGATTTTCTTGTGTTGAGTGATTTGAGAAAGTCGGTCAAAGTTATTATAGTAGCCACCTCACTCTACACCTTACGTAGTTTAGGATGAGTTATGAGTTTGTTCTTTACGTGTTTGAAATGGAAAGGCTTTTTACTTTACTAGAGTTCAAAGCATATACTATAATTTCCACCATTAGTAAATATTAAAAATAATTTTCCACTATGATCATCTTGGTAGTTGTTCGTTTATTATCCTAGTAAGCAATACATCATCTCAGTAGATAAAATTTCACGCTTTATGTTAAATATGGATTAGAAGTTGAAAGAATTTTAAATTAGCGTTATCAAACATGAGACATAGTTTTAAGAAGCGTAAAGAATAAATCTCTAAGTAACACATAAATCTTAGAAATGAACTTTGAGATTTTTTTACCACTGTTGTTTTCATTAATTCTACTTACAGTCAATTGAAAGAAGAATCGCTTGTTCTAGAAAATGAACAATGTGCGTATAAGCGTTCAATCGGCAAGGAACAAGAAACTCACGAACGTCTAACATCATTACAAAATAAAAATGAATCAGACTTAAACACATTGCGTAAACAGTTACTGCAGGCAGAAACTAAACTTGAAGCTGATAAACAAGCCTATACATCATATTCGAGAATGCTCCAGGAAACTGAACGTTGTCTGAACAATGCTAAAACGGTAAGACATATATATATATATATGCATATATAAATATAAGTGATAAGGTTGTGCACTTTTAAAATAATGTGACTACTCAAAGCAAAAAGAAGCCAATAAAAGAAGGAAAAAATACATACACATATAGCAAACTTGCTTTATTCCAATATGAAGTGGATAATCAGTGAATGTGTTCTTAGAACTAAATTTGATCGTCTATTATAGAAAAGATTTCATTTTCTAAACAATAGGGTGTGAGAGGGTTAAAATTCTAAGAATTAATATAAGTAGGTGGAGAGAGAGATTGATTACTGAATCCTGGTTCATTGAGTCTACACCCAACACAACACATGCAACAGAAATGACTCAACGCAAATACCAGAGATGTGTGGAGGTCAACAGCACTCAGCATCAAAAATAAGATCCGGATTTTCAACTCCAATGTGAAGTAAGTGCTACTGTACGGATCAGAGACTTGGCGCGTCATAAAGAGCATCTCAAACAAACTACAGACCTTCATTAACAGTTGTCTTCGCTCAATACTCAAGATCAGATGGCCGGCCAGAAAAGATCAGCAATAGAGATCTCTGGGAGCGAACCAACCAGGAACCAATTGTGAAACAAATACGCAGGAAGAAATGGGGATGGATTGGCCATACTCTGAGGAAACCATCAAGTGAAATCACTAGACAAGCCATGACTCGAGTGGAACCTGAAAGGGAAGCGGCAAGTTGGTCGTCAGTGCGAGAGTGACTTGGAGGAGGTCATGTGAGGTGGAGATGAAAACGTGTGGGCAGACATGGAGCCAGGTGAAGACTGTAGCAGAGAACAGAACGCAATGGAGACGCACGGCTGAAGCCCTATGTTCCTGTAGGAATTAAAGGTTACAATAATAATAATAATAAATACCAGAGATATCGAAGATATTATTACCACCAGTCAAATCAGAGGAGGATAATAAATAATCTCAAAATTCTATTTCAATTCACGTACATCATAACATTGTAACAAGTTACTTATTATAACTATAAAAACACTCGTCTTATTTCCCATCTGATTGTATTTGATTGATAACACTAATACTATTTCTGAATGTACATTATCCAATATTAATTTTTATTCAAATGTCTAATCATCAATTTCACTCATGTATATAAATGAAGGAAAAAGTTGTGTGAGTAACTTGATATGATTTTGAGCAATAGTTTATGCTCAAAACGTCATCAGTTAATATTACTGTATAACACTGTGTGATTTATCAAAATAACATCGTATCTATAATGGAGTTATACTCTACCACAGTGCCCAAGTTTTATACTTATATCAATAATACATTTCATCGTCTGGACCTGGTTTGTTGAAACTCTACAAGTGATGAACAGAAATATTAGCTGATTCTGTTTATTTTCAGTGGTTATTACTGAATTACACAAAGGGGAATTTTATTTTTGACGTGTCAATTGCAGCTACCTCAATTCTACTGAATGACTGTAATTTCGCTGATGGTCGTATTCACTATCGAACGTGTCACACGTTGAACTGGAAGACCTATATATGGGAACCATCCATCTCGTGTAAAACAGTATTCCTATATATATATATATATATATATATGTATATATATATATAAGTCATGGCAGAACACAAGGGTCAAGCAACAGATCGTTTATTGAGAAAATCAAGAGATATTTATAGATTTTTGAGTACATTATTATTCGTCATTGTTAACGGTGAAGCAACATCTTCTGATTGGTTGTTTTCTTCCTGAAGGTTATTCTGTCGTCTCTCTGTGGCTGTTTCTTAGAAAGTTAAGGCATGTATCTGCGAATTGTATGTGCACAAGTTAAGTCTGCTGTGATTGTTTGGTGAGTTCCTCAAGTTAACCTTGAGCTTTGTCATTTTTTTTTCTCATGACTCCGATTCGGGACGTAAACACTGACGTGAACTGTTGTCTACAATTTTGGCTTGCAGATAGCTCTCTCTCTCTCTATATATATATATATATATATATATATATATATATAATATTATATATTTGCCTGCACTCTAACTCTCATGAAGTAATGAGGTGAATTATAATGGGATTAGTAATGGATTCACTCATTAACTGACTTCAATAAGTTTTTTTTATCTTGAAGGGTTGAAATAAATAATGAATAATTACAATATTTTATTTCACTTTTTTAACTTTTTTTATCACAGGAGAACAATGCTGCTCAAATGTGTGTCAAGAACATTCGGAAACAAATTGAGAGAAAAGTGTTAGAGAAACAAGAGTTAGATAAAAAGATTACTGAAGAACTAAGGTCTCGATTAACTGCACAAAAAGCTGCTAATTATGTTAACAAAATTAACATGAATGTACAAGATCAAAGCAGAGAGTTGTTGACTCAAGTATGTCAAAATTTGCTTCTGACCGTTTTTCTTATATAATCTCCAAAAGTAAGGCAATCTTAACTGATTAATCAACAGTGTTTAATTTCCAATATTAATCAGCTGACTAAATTACAAAGTCGTAGGTTTCTTAAATGTAATGCGTGTGTTGATTCAAAAATATTGAGTAAGTTGATCAAAATGATGCGTTACAGTGCAATAATATCGAAAGTTTCATTTAACAACACGAAAAAAGAACATCATCTGAGAAATAATACACATATAGTGTACACTGCTACATGTGTCACTAAATAAGAATTACTGCGCCCCAATATTACCTATAAAAATATAGTGCATACATAAAGCACGCTGCTAAAAGCATACACACAGCTAGAAATTTTCTCTTAACTGTACCAGATCTAAACGTAACCACTTGTCGAAGGTAATATTTGTCTCTTGATTATGATTAATTTACATAATACTGTTTGCAGTGCCATCGATACATAGTACAGTAGTATTGCCAGTTGGTGCTAAAAATAAACCAAACTTCGCACTGATAAGCATCTCTATTAATTTTCTCTTCTGTTTTATTAATAATTCCAAATTTTTAGAATCTATAGTTAGAAAACAAGCCTTATCACCGAAATGTTGTGGTTTTTAAATGGCGGCTGCTAACAGTAAGCCATGGATAGTTTCTTAGTAGACTTTCATGGACTCAACTAGTAAATGAGACGAATTACACAATGGTGTTGGGAGAGCGAGAGATAATTAAGTAATCACAACAATATCTGTAATATTTTGAAGTAATTACCACACATGGAGCAGGAAACCATGAATCCATTTTATCTCATCGGCTTCTTACCAAGTGTTTACAATTTGAATAATGAGAGTTAATAGTTTTGGTTGATATTACTAGTCGATATCTCATATTACCTACAATACGTCGGGGATGGTGTCGAAAGAGCACTAGGAAGCTTTGTACTGTATCAAGGATGACCAAATAGTAGTAATAACATCGGACGAAGGTTCGAGTCCTGTAGCAGTGAATACGGAAGAGTAAATTTACAAGATGAGCTCTATCTTACAAAATCCCCGAAAATTCAGAATTACTAACTGTCAAAAAGATCTGACTGATCCAACTGAAAGGGGAATCACTAAGATGCTAAAATATTTCTTGATGAGAGAACTCATAAATAATTCCACACGTAGATAGTTAGGGCGTGGCGAGTCTTGTCTATCTTCTCTGTACGGGCTAGTTAACTTACACAAGGAGGGTGTTCTGCTTAGGCCCGTGGTAAATTCATCACACCACAAAGTAGCTTGTCGGCTGACTAAAAATTAGAATCCAGTCGCTAACAGGTTTCATATGACCATGACAGACTCGTTTCGTTTCGTTGAAAACCTGAAAATTCGGATGTTTTCAAATAACTAATGGTGTTATTTCGTGCAACTCCCTCATTCACCAATGTAGCTTTTTATGAAACTATAGATATTATGTGCCAGAAGTCTGATTTTCCCATACCAACTTACGAATTCGAATACCCACTACTTATATGCATGTGCGTCAGTGGCACAGTGGTTAGGGCTCTTGCCGACCATCCACATGGTCCGGGGTTCGACCCCCTGCCGACGCACACCTGATATCTATGGTCGGCCTGCGAAATTTGGGCTACCGATTTCCATGCTGAAAATGCCAAACTTGTACTGAAAATACAGTGTAGCATCAAGCTGTAATCAAAAATAAAAATATAAAAAAAATAAAATAATCATTAGATTCAGTTGCAGATTATCAACTTATTTTATCTCCAAGTTTATAGGGCAGTGATGAGAAGCCCACTGTGTCCCATATTGACGGATCTGTTCTTCCTGAAATTGATGAAAATAATCCGAAGGGTGCACGACGAGAGCTTAATTCCATTATGGATAAAAATTTCAATCTGATAAAGTCTCGGTGTTATACAGTAATATTTACTGATAACGTTTCCAGCACAATATATTGCTAGTAATCATATCACGGTATTCTCCATAATGAAGTCTATAAGTACGATCGAAGAAATGACTTATTCCACCATGTATGCTTATGTTACCATCATTGAGTTTAATCGCTTATCTCATGCATCTCACTTATTAGAAAACTTTAATGATACCCACAAAAACATTAATTTCACCATGGAATATATAGCTATTGGAAAATTCAACATTCTAGATGTCTCCATAGAATGCACGACAGATTATGCATTGCGAACATTCATCCATTCAAAAAGTACATAGAGTGGAAGTTATCTGAATTTCAACAGATTTAATCCGACTAACTTAAATCAGTCACTAGTCAAAAATTATTTCACAGGAGTGGGGGCGACACTCACCACTGGCACTCACCAGTGATGAATTGGAGGAGGAGCTGGGGATCATATTAGAAATTTTAAGAGTCAACGGATATCCTCAAGGATTTATTGACAGATCGGGAAATAGTGAAAGTAAAAGAATAAAAATGTCACAGTGAATAAAAAGATGGTATTCATCCGCCAAAAATTTAAACGTGATGAAATTGCATAGATAACCAACAGACGAATTAGGAAATCACTAACTAATATTTGTCTCGCGTCCAGAACGATTTCTTTATACCAAACGGCATATTTTTTAACTCAGTCAAAAGTCAGCATTTACCCTGGCTCAAACTGCGCATATCAATTTACAAGTGTAGTTGCTGAAGCAGATACATTTAAAAACAGAAGGAAATGCTTATCTCCGATTTCCTGAACACATACCGAAAAGCTTGCGATTAGTCACAGAAAGGAGTTGTGATAAGTCTTTCTGACGTGACGTGGCTTTCAATATTTAATTAACAATATTATTTATTAAATTTAAATGTTGGGATTATTTTACTCTTAGTTAAGGCAATCTTCATTTATTAAAAATCATAGTCTATATGTCTGATATCTAACTAAATGGACTAAACTCACAATATGTTTTGCACAACTCACTATTTATTAACAATTTTCTAGTGGTTTACATAACCTTCCCTTTTCTCTAGGAGCTCTGATTGCACTTTTTACTCTTTAGTAACTTAACATTTAGATTCATCTATCAACCACGATTATTCTTAATTACTACCTTACATTTTGTTTCTGTAATGAACTAAAGTATGTCAGAATTGTAATAAAACTATGAAATTTCATTATCCTGTTTGTAAGCAGTTGATAAGATACCGACTAAATAAAATGGATCTGTTTTATCCTGCCCTACATGTTGATTTGCTTTGTTCAAATCCACTAAAGAGAATTTGTGTATCGAAAGATAAAATTCAAAACGTATTATGTAATCTAATGGCACAGCTAATTAATTCTAGTAAGGTTTGATATTTGATTGGTTCTTTTTCTGGCTAACATGGTGGGTGGTTATAAGTATTTTTATAGACGTTTGTTAATTTACCAAAGCAGAGAAGGGATTATCATTATTATTTCATGATTTCTCTTTAAATGACAGATTGTACAAATGGAGAATCAAATTGCCAAAGATGAGTTATGCATAGCACACAAAAAAGCTAGTAATATCCAACTGCAAGAAAGAGTTAATGATTTGGAAAAGGAAATTGACAATAGTAATTTATTAATTACTAAGCTGGAGACTGAAATACATCATGCAAATGTAGCTGTAGAGCGTAAACAAGGTAATATTGATATACTGAATAAAAAATTGGAACGGTTAATTCGTGAAAGTGGCGTAAGTTTTCTGTTGTGTGAATTTCATATTATTATTATTGCTATTACTATTATCATTCTTAATATTGTTCGTTTGGGTACCGAGTGGAATATAGGGCTTCAACAGCACACATCCACTTCATCCTGTTCACTACAGCCCTCTTCAGCTGACCACACAATCGGTCATATTCTTTTATCTCCTCCTGTCACTCTTGGACGCCCAACTCATCGTTTTCCGTCCGGGTTCCACTAGAGATATGGCCTAGTGCTCGATGTCATTCAGGGGTCTCTTCAACGTGCGTCTGATTCACCACCATTCACTTATGCACACTTGTTGAGCTTCTTGATTGGTTTCTTCCTATAGTTTCCAGTTGCTAATTCTTTCTGGCCATCTGATCTTCTTTAAAGCAATTAGTTCCCTTTATGAATTTCGACAACACAATAAGAAGACTCAGTTTATCTGAAATGTGTAATGTATTGGCGCAACACATTTCGGACATTCTAATCACACACGTACTTGTCATACACAGTTTTTATAGAATGCAAGAAGGCATGAATAATTACAATACAGGCCAGATTGTATACAGGTCAAGGTCACAAATAATGTGTAGGGAGACGCAAAAGGTGTGGGTAAGAAAGATAAAAGGAGAAAAACAAGGCAAAGAAGGGGTTGAAAATATTATGAAGTAAAATGGTCCTTGGTTCTGAATTGGATTACCAAGGCAGGTTTAAGGTGATAACAAATAACTTTTGGACACATAAGACAGGTTTTAAGTCTTTTATGGCTAAGGCTTCAATGAATTTAAGTATGTGGCCCAACCTTGTTTTATATATCGGCTTAAAGGCATTGTTGAAATCAACCTTATGACCCGTCTCTATAATATGCTTCGCTATAGATTATTATTATTGCATCCTTTAATTCCTAGAGAAACATAGGGCTTCAGCCGTGTTCGGTTCTCTGCTAGAATCTTCACCTGGCTCCAAGTCTGCCCGCACGTTTTCATCTCCACCTCACATGACCTCCTCCAAGTCACTCTTGGACGACCAACTCGCCGCTTCCCTTTCGGGTTCCACTCGAGTCATGGCTTGTCTAGTGATCTCACTTGATGGTTTCCTCAGAGTATGGCCAATCCATCCCCATTTCTTCCTGCGTATTTGTTTCACAATTGGTTCCTGGTTGGTTCGCTCCCAGAGATCTCTATTGCTGATCTTTTCTGGCCGGCCATCTGATCTTGAGTATTGAGTGAAGACAACTGTTAATGAAGGTCTGTAGTTTGTTTGAGATGCTCTTTATGACGCGCCAAGTCTCTGATCCGTACAGTAGCACTTACTTCACATTGGAGTTGAAAATCCGGATCTTATTTTTGATGCTGAGTGCTGTTGACCTCCACATAGACTTGAGAGTAGTGAAAGCTTGCCTTGTTTTCCCAATCCTCGCTTTTATATCCTCATCAGTTCCGTTCACCTGTAGTTGAAACGATGCTTCCCAGGTAGGTAAAGGCGATTGTTTCTTTCAGGTTCCTTCCATTTATGCTGATTGTTGTCTGTTGTTGTTGGTTTTGCCCAGGAATCTTCATCACCTCTGTCTTCTCTATGTTCCCCTGAAGTCCTATCTTTGATGCTTCTTCTGCCAACTTGTTGCTTTTCACTTGCATGTCTTCCAGTTTGTGGGAAATCAGACATATATCATCGGCGAAGTCCAGATCCTCCAAGTCTTTTGTGTGGGTCCATTGATGCCTGTTTCCTCATTGCCCGCTGTTTGTCGCATTATCCAGTCTACTGCAATCAAGGAAATCACTGGCGATAGTAGGCAGCCTTGTCTTACTCCTGTCCTCACTTCGAAGGATTCCGTAAGTTTCCCGTTGTGGATTACTTGGTATGCAGCATTGTCGTACAACTGTTGGATGAGATGTATAATTGTCGGTGGCACCTCGTAGTAGCGAAGTAGTTGCCAAATCACCTCTCGATCGACGCTGTCGAAGGCCTTTTCAAAGTCGATGAAGTTGAGATAGAGAGGTGACTGCCATTCCAAGCTTTGTTCAATGATGATCCGTAATGTGGCGATCTGATCAATGCATGACTTGTTTCTCCTGAATCCAGCCTGTTCCGGTCGAAGCTTTTTCATCCAGGGCATGTTTGATTCTTTCCAGGATGATGCGGCTTAGTATTTTGCTTGGGATGGACAGGAGCATAATTCCGCGCCAGTTCTTGCATTGACTTAAGTCTCCTTTCTTTGGTAGTTTGAATAAGTATCCTTTTTTCCAATCCTTGGGTACTTTGCCTTCTTTCCACACCTTCTCCAGTAGTGGCGTCATCAAGTCCGCTGTTGTCTCTGGGTCCATTTTCAACGCTTCTGCTGGGATTCCATCTGGTCCTGCTGCTTTTCCAGCTTTTCGCATATTGATTGCCTTCAGGACTTCTGATTTCGTCTGGTGGTTGGTGTTCACTGGTAGCTCTGTCTCCGTTGTTGGTATTGTTGGGCGCGTTGTCGGTGGTGGTAGATTTAGGAGTCTTTTGAAGTGTTCAGCCCAGTGTTTCCTTTGCTCTACTTCTTTGGTGATTGACTTTCCATTGTCATCCTTCACCAGCTTATTTTGTGTCAAACGTTTGCTCGATAGTATCTAGTTGTTTGGTAGAGTGTTACGAGGTCTCCTTTGCCTGCAGCTTGTTCTACTTCACTTGCCATGGTTTCATAGTACTTTCTTTTGCCTTCTCTGGCACTCTTCTTTACTCTTTTGTTCAGTGTCTTGTAGTTTGCATTCAAATCCTGTTTTTGTTGCTTGTCGGTGCACTGGAGAATCTTTTGTTTCACCATCTTTCTCTCTTCTGTTAGTCTCGAAGTGTCCGTAGTGAGCCACTGTTTGTTCTGTCTCTTCTTTCCGCCTAGAACTTCCATGCAGGTTTGACTCCACACTGTTTTCAAGTTGTTCCAGTGCTTTTCGACGCTGACCTCTTCGCCATTGTTGATTTGTGTCTCGGCTTATTAGTTCTGCACTATGCTTATGCTTTGTAATACTGTATATTCAGTCTGATGAAGTGGAACACTTTCTTTACTTACAACGCCTATAATTCAGGGAGTACTACCTTTATAGACGAAACACTCCTGATATACATAAAGCATCGTTTTCGTATGAGTGGACCAGTAGAAGGGTTATCAGAGTAGGATGATGCATTAGTTTGACCATTAGAAGAAGCCTAAGTTACTGTATTTATGGTCCTGTGCTCGCACTTTATCAAGTCTTAATTGCGGAGAGATCCCACCTAGTACCTACCCATCCGCATAGTTATTTGTAAAATTTCGAGACTGGGGGTAAGTTGCGCCGGATTTTATTGGGATATTCACCAGCTACTGGAATAATTTGCCATCAAACCGGGAATATCGGTCATTTGTACTAAATCTCGTGGTTAGTGCGTGGCCCTAATATAAAATTTTCTTAAGTCGTGGTGTTCTACGTGACAGAGATGTCAAAATTATAAGGTGCATCCCCAGAAAAGAGACGTATGGGGAACTCAGTCTGAACTTTAAAAGGTTTCGCTCTGCAAGGTTCAAAGAGTGATAGATAAGAGCACTGTTCGATCGTTTAGAAGGTTTACTTGTAGGAAAACTCGGGGAAGAGTTGTACATAGTGGTGTGGTAGCAATTCTTTTCAGATGTTTATCGACTAACATTATGTATCCAGTGTGAAGAAAGTGGATCGCACCACAGTGGAGGCAAAGACTATGCTGGTAGAAGAAGGTGCAGATTGGATGCTCCAGTGGTGGAAACATCCAGCTAACAAACTTTTGTGTTTGTATCAAACTAGTCGTTGTTTAAAACCATCAGAATTGAAATGATTTCCATTTCATTTTACCTTCATCTGTATCTACCAATTTACACATACGGGCCAAAATACACACCTCAGAAGGGTAGATAGAAGAGTTCTCATTAGCATTTCTGAGCACATCTAAAAGGATCTGAAACTAACAGGCTCATAAATACTAAACATTTAGACCATCTGTTAGGCGATGTTTATATTAAGGGAAGTCCTAAGGCGTTCAAAAACACTCAAAAGAAGAGCAATCATCACTAAACGGTTAAAAATGCTACAAATTAAAAATTCCCATTGAGTCATATAAAAGAAAAGGCGTTCAATGAAGAGTTACTCTACGGAAAGGCGACATGGAATAGGAAACTGACTAAATTTCAGTTAGGTGCGCGTATATACAAAACGAAACCTCATCCATTCACTGGGCCACAGAATCCGCCGCATTTGCAGCCCTGATACTATAGAAGAGGAGCTAAACATTTAAGTGGTGGGCCCATAGCTATGCAGTCTTTTTGTCGATATATTTCGTTATAGAAAGAGAATCAGACGTTTAGGGTGCATCTCAATAGGAGTTCCTTCAAATATTCAGTGGGTATACGAATGTTCATCTTTAAATTAATCAACCGCCCATACATTCTCCTCCCGAAAATCTTCTCTACTTGAATCAACAATTCAACGGAGACTCATCAGCAGAAATACTGAGAAACCGCCTGTCTCGCTCACTGAAAAAAACTGCGGCTGAACTTCGACTAACCTCTACGAAAGCAATGATTCGCATGAACCTGAAGGATAAACCACCACTGTCGCCTTCATCAATGTGCATCTATCAATTCACCTACTGTTGTGGAGCTAGGTATGCCGGCCGTACCCAGCGTTTGCTATCCAAGCGTATCATCGAACACACTTTTATAAAGAAGAAAAACGGTCCGCCCGAATCTGGAACACCAAGCCAACATGCAAACTAACTTTAAAGTCATCTACAGAATACGTGGGAACATTGCTAAAAGTGTACGCATCAAACTTCTTCAAACCTCAGAAGAAACTGCAATATACATGAAAGCCTGAACTTTGCAGTGAAGATGTCCTTTGTGTCCTGGTCCTTCAGTTTTTGAGTGTTGAACTTGGCTTGTGGTCTATCTGCAGCTTCTGTTTCTCTGAAAGCTTTTAATTAGATTTTGATTGTCCCTTGTACGAGGTAGTGGTCTGAGCCAACGTCTGCTCCTCTTCTTACTTTTGTGTCCAGTAGGCTGCACCTCCACTTCCTTGAGATTGAGATGAAGTCAATTTGGTTTTTGGTTCACCCGTCTGGTGACACCCATGTAGCCTTGTGGATATCCTTGTGTTTGTATACACTGCCACCAATCACTAGTTCATTGAAGGCGCAGAAGTCGGCGAAGAGTTTTCCGTTTTCATTCATTTCTTTGAGAGCTTCTCTACCCATGATGAGTTCCCTTCCTGAGTTGTTTGATCCCAGTTTGGCGTCCATGTCTCCCATTAGTATTTTAATGTCACCAGCTGGAGTATTGTCCATTGTTGTCTGTAGTTGTCTGTAGAATTCTTCTTTCTTTTCGATGTCTGCGTTGTTGGTCGGTGCATAGCATTGTATAATTGACACTTTCCTTCCTTTGGAGTTGAATCTGGCGGTTATTATCCTGGGCGAGATCGCCTCCCATTGCATCAGGGCCTTCGTTGCCGTTGGTGACATCATGATAGCCACGTCCTCGGTGTGCGAGTGGTTATCTTCTGGGTGACCGGAGTAGATCACTGACTCACCCGTTGACAATTTGGTGAGTCCATTCCCGTTCCATCGGCTTTCACATATCCCCAGTACTTGAATTCTGTATCTTTTCATTTCGTTTGCGATCTGGGCAGCTTTGCCGATCTCGTACATGGTGCGGACATTCCATGTCCCCACACAGACTTTTTCTTTTGGCTCAAGGAGATTCATCGTGCTGAAGTTTCTGTAGCAGCTTTGTTTACAGGGTGGGGTTGCTAGCCTCACGCCTGAGAAGGAGATTGTTACATTAAATTATAATTTAGAGAGAAGCGAGCTTGTGGGTTGCTCCCCTTAAAACCAGGAAAACAGGGAATAAAAAAAACTGAACAACACCAACACGGGAAAATAATTCACAACAAGAAGGGTAACAAGCGACAACAACAATTATAATATCACAGTCAATTACAGTTAACCAAAATGATGCCAAAATCATAGACTCACTGACTTGAGCCAACTTGAACATGTAAATCCATCAATATATACATTTATAGGTATTAGTTAGTGTTAAACAAGCACAGAGTGGCAAATGGTAATATCGATATACAATATTATATCCAAAGATTCAGTGTTTCAAAGGCAAATAATTGTAATAGTTTTTTGCAACTTTTTGGCAAGATGTTCCACAGAAATCAGAGTTTTAGGTAACTATGCAAATGTAGCGCATTAATTGATGATGTTGGACATCTGTTTCCGGGTTCACTTGTGTCTGGAGATTTCATTTGTTGTTGCAGCCACTTTGGAATGTGTTCTATAGCCCTAAGCTGCAGAGACCGGTGGGTCCTCCCTATGTACGTGTCTCCACTTATACATGTAAATTGATAAACACAGTAGGATGTGACACTATCGTTCAGATAATGTGAGGGTTTACAGGACAGCATAGTTCTCGTTTTCTCTATGAAGATAAGTTTAGCTGCATAATGTGATCTTCAATATGGAGTGCAGACAGCTTTTAATGAAAGTGGACAACCTGCTAGAAATGTTTTTCGTGACGCACTTAGTTTCTGACCCATTTGAAAAAACTGACTTAACATTGTTGTTGAAAGTCCAAATTTTGTCTCCAATACCGAATGCAGAAGATTTGCAAGCCGAGTGATGATGGTCTGCCATACTTTTCCAAATCGGGTTGTGATATCCTCATCCATCCCTCTCGTAGTTGAAGCGATGCTGACTATACAGGGAAAGAAAGTGATCATATCCCTCCCGTTGACAGTGGTTGGTTCTTGTTGTGGTTGGTTGGTTATCTTCATCACCTCCATCCTCTCCATTTTCGCTTGAAGTACCATCTTTGCTGCTTCCTTTTCCGAGTTGTTGACTTTCGCCTGTGAGTCCTCGAGTTTGTATAACAGCCATAAATTGTTCACAAATTTCAGATCTTCTAGAGTCTTCATGTATTTATTTCTGTTTTATGAATCTGAATAAAGCAAGAGTCATTTAAGCTTTTCAAAAAGGTTAATGGCTTCATTTGATGCAACCTCCTTAATCACAAGGATCCAAATCAATGAAATTATACAGATCATTTTTCAGGATTCTGACCTTCTCCACTACTAGTGTCGGAATTCAAATGGCTACTGCCAATGTGTACCATGGATGTACAATTGCAGTTTAACAACACTCTTCACCACCAAATAGACGGTGTAGCTATGGACAGTCTACTTAGCCCTATTTTAGCAGATATCTTCATGTCCAGTCTTGACAAAACAAAGTTAAAGCATGCAATCGACGAAACAACTTCTAATTGACGATATGTAGGTGACACATTTGTAGTATACAGGAATGAAAGTCATGCATCCAACCTACTCGGATTATTCAACGACGCACATACAAGTATTGAATTTACTATGGAACATGAAAATGATGGAAAGTTCTATTTCCTTGACATTGACATGCAACGCCTAGAAGATGGTAGTCTCCACATAGAAAGAACAATACCTACATTTTAATAATTTTTGTCCAGATAGCTTTAAACGAGCACCAGTCAAGACTCTATATTATAGATCTACGAGAATATGCTCTACAGAGAAATCAGAGGAATAATTTCTGGTTCTCTAAAAGATGTTGGAAAACAACGGTTACCCTGCGAGATTCATTAAAAAGTATGGGAGATGTAAAGGCTCTAATACTAAACAAATCATAATGGGAACAAAGCCTATCTTCATTCAACTTAATTTCAAATAAGATAACAGTGCAGGCATAATCAGTAGAAGACTGAATATGTCGCTAGCCAGAGCCTATCCTACAGCTAAGCTGGTTCCCATCTATCGAACAACTTGCTCTCGGTGCAATCAAAATTCGATAGATAACCTTCTCATTTTAATTCCAACTGTATATACATATTTGCATGTATCTGCGGGAGCAGTTACATTGGAAGAACAGAAAGAACCGCGTACATCTGGTTTTCTTAATATGCACCAAAAAGCCTAAGTCAAAAGGGAACAAATGCTTTCAACAAGGTCATTGCCAGGTATCTTCTTGACCAAGGTCATGAGATGGACGTTGCTTCTAGAGTCTTCTTGTCGGTACAGCGCATTCCTCTCCTCCCGCACTCCACAGTTTAACGCATAATGCAGTCCACTATAATATCATCTATCATGTGAACATTTGTGTTGCTTTTCGGTTCTTCGCTCTGGCATCCTTGTCTGTACTACTACGTGTATCTGCGGGAGCAGTTACATTGGGAGAACAGAAAAAAGGGCATACTTCCAGTTTTCTGGACATGTGCCGAAAAGCCTACGTCTCAAGAGAACAAAATCTTATTATAGCGCTATTACCAGATATCTCCTCGATGCGGGTCATGAGGTGAAAATCGCGAAATCCTTTAAAATTATCAATAGACAAAGGGGCTCGATTTTCCTCAAGTTTGTCAAAGCAATTTCTGTCAAACACTTGAAACCAGATTCATGTGTTCAGAAAGAAGCAATTATTGGTCTTTTCTTGCCACGGTAACTGGGTGTCTTTATTCTTTCTTTCATTTGATTACATAATCTTTGACTTTAACCTCACACCCTTTTATGACTTGTAGTTTTGCTTATCTCTTGTTTCTGTGATTTGAGTTGAACTCAGTACATTGGTACTTAATTTATTAGTCACTCAGCTTCTTACGCATCTCTCGTCTTTATTACGTGACTCCTTTACCATTGTATGCATACATTTATTTTGTTTAAACTTGAACTACTTGTGTAAAAACTATATAAGCGCAATTTTCTGAGCACTGTCCACTAACTGCGAAACTTTCTGTCAACTGACATCATGGAAACAAATTTGCAAGTATGTTAAAACTTTTCTGTACATAAACCTCATAATTTATTCGGGCTGTAAGCAGCTGATGAGAAGCCAACGAAATAAATGATGGTACCATATTATTCTGCATAAACCTCTGTTGTTCTTGCTTTATTCAAATTCATCAGGGGGAATAAATGCCTGAAGAAACTACTGATAGACTTAACTGTATTGCTTAGGAAGGTGGAAGAAGTGAATTACTTTAAATTTCTCCAGTTAATTTGTGTTGTTGGTTAGGTGTGTTCATCACTTGAAGCCATGTCTTAGCTTCCAGTCTCTTCTGCCAACAGGTTGGGTTGCATCTGCAGATCCTTGGGCTTTTGTGCCATTAAATATAAATAATCCGCGAAGTTCAGATCATCTAGAACCTTTTCTGTAGAACAGCGTATGTCCTTCACCTATCTTCTCATGGTCTGTCGTGTGATCCAGTTTACCACAATCAGATATATCTTTGGTGATAGTAGTCGGCCTGGTCTTATTCTTATCTTTACTTCTCAGGGTTTCCTGAGGCTTTGGTTATGAACTACTTGACATGTTTCATCTTCATTTAGCTGTAAAATGTAGTCGGTAGAAGTTTGGGGTACTCCCTAGACAATACTGACCATAAACTTGAACCATACCTGGGTATGGTCAGTATTGTCAAGAGAGTTTTCAAAGTTGATGAATTTGAGGTGGAGATTTGTCTATCGTTATCCGGATTAGGAATAATTTATACATGTCTGAAGTTAATTTGTCATCATCCTTTTCTTCTATCCTTTTCGTTTAAAATCAAGGGCCAAGAAGTTGGACCATTGGATGCGCAAATAAATAACTTAAATAAAGCGATAACCAGTAAGCAAGATGAAATTGGTGAACTTGAGCAACAGTGGTTAAAAGAGCAAAATGAATTAGTAATAAATATTAATGAACGAGATAAGCTATCCGAATCTGCAACACGGATAAGCAAGCAGCTGTCAATCTTAACACAAAAGAAAATGCGGGTTGATAGTAAGTTCATAACTTTAGAAATTTAATTGATTTTCGTAGAAGTTTCGAAACCGAAAACAGCTTCAAGAAGTAAATAATTATATATATATATATATATATATATATATATAATTATTCTTCTAATATACCCCGTTTACTTTTTCACGTTTTTCCCTTAGCTCTACAGAAACCAAATACTGTATTATTTAATCGTTGCAGGATGGTAGTTATTGTTCCTCCTCACACCTATCAATTAAAAGATTCTACCTACACATTCACAATGGTTATATCTAGATTAAAGGAAAACACGCACTAATTTGTTCCCGCTATTATTAATACAATAATTATTATTATCACCTTGATTACTGACAACTGATTACTATATTTGAAATTTAATTTTACGTACCATGTTCTTATCAGATGTTGATGTTTAATAGTGTTAATCTACAAGTGTAATGTCTGGCAGAAAAATATCAGTTGGCGGTATTTACTGAATGTTTGGTAAAAAGTTCATAAACTAATGACCACCTCATAAAAATAACAACTATGTTTTATGAACTTGTATTTGTGTATTTGCCCTCGGGACTCTAAGAATCAATGGCTGGAGACACTAGGTGACATGGCTCAAAATCGTTGTCAATGGCGCAGATGTATTCAGTCTCTCTAATCTTTCATATTCCTTTCTACCATTACCCATTCTGTTTCACTCTTATACCTGTCAAAACTCTATTGATTCTCTTCACTCATTTTCTTGTCTACCTTTGTGTGCTCTTTGGAACGTGGCAACTCGAACTGGTGCACTTCGGTGCCAAGTTCTACGTTGAATCCAGACAGACAGACAGATTTAAACGAAAAGATTTGACAGTGTGTACTTTTGCACAAATGTGCATCACTGCTGCAACTCCTTGTGAAACTATATAAAATAAGTGGACAGCAGTATTAGGATGCTACACTGTACGAATATATAGATGAAGACTAATGGATATTTTCAGAATTCAATGATTACAAGGAACGTTATATATTTGAGCCAGCTTGAGAGAATAAAAGAGTTTCCAAGAGCTTCTCTTTAGAATATTTTGAATTGCAGTCCTGTGTAGAATATTGTTCACATATTTAAAAATCAAAACAGGAGTACGGTGCTTATTAAGCCCGCTTAACTTAATAAGTCGTCCTAAAATGGAAAAGAGAGAAAATTAGGTGTGAGGATAGCAATCCAATAGTAAAGTTCCTCATGGATTAGTATCGTACTTTAGTCTGACCACCTACAACCCTTCTCCAATCTAATCATATTTCAGCTAACAATTGTCTTATCTCAGGAATCCGGTGGATTGATATACGGAACGCGTACCCTAGTCGTCCTGAAGGGTGTAGCTTACCGGACTCAAAACTTGTGCACTGTGGTAGAGTGTAATTCCATTATGGGTAAATTTTGTTTTGATAAAGTCTCACAGTGTTATACGAGAATGTTTACTGATGACGTTTCGAGCACAATTAATTGCTCATAATCATATCAAGGTGCTCGAAACGTCATCAGTAAACATTCTCGTATAACACTGTGAGACTTGATCAAAACAAAATTTACCCATAATGAAACTTACCGGACTTATTGATTTCCTTCGACTCCTTAAAGTGTATCCCACAACCAGCTTTGATACAACTAAAAACCACATTGCTTCACTTCACATGAGAGATCTAACAAAGACGCACGCCATTAAAATCGCCCAATCTCCTTAAATCTCCGAAATTCAGTGACTACTTCTCACAGCTGTAAAGCAAGATGGAGAGGACTTCTGGACGGTAGACAAGTCCCAACATGACTGACTCGATATCGTCGAGCGAGAAACGTGCACCAGAAACTAGACCACAATGATTAGTGCAAGTTTTCAGACATGTGAATTGTCCGGAAAATACAAATACTTCACTCCTTAACTTTGATTTAGGAGTAGGTGAAGACCAGTCGTTTTGGAACCATCATAAAATTTACAGAGGCCAGTAGGATGTCCAACAGAAGCAGATTTTTGCTCCTGAAAATCAAAGACTTCACTTTGTTAGCGTCTTTGGTTTGAACAACCAATCCATATGAGTTCATTAGGTGCATAAGACCTCTTAATCGATGGGAGTGTATGATGTCTTCATGGTAATAAATACAAGAAGTTTTGGACGAAGATGTGTATGTCTGTATTTTCGGCCAAAAATCATAATGAGGTCTACAGTCTGTCTTGGATTCATTTTACGACTAGTTTACGACCTACCAACTGTTTATCTTATCTGTGTTGCCAAAATCCCCTTGATATATTTTTACGAAGCTGATCCAAATAATATATGTTTGCCGATATTCTCCCTATTTTTGATCTCTAAGATCTTTCTGGAGTGCTACAGGTGCACATAACTTGGATTATATGGCCAATCAGTGAAGATTTTGTCGACTTTGCTTGTTTTGTATTCTGTGTTTAGTCAGCATAAATCAGGATGATGGTTGTACAGTAAAGTAATATGTTCAATGCCGGTGTCACGTTTAATCGCTAACTTGATTTAGGATAGGGATTTATAATACAAATGACACCGATGACCCCGCGACGTAAAACCCTGCATTTTTAGCCTCTCTGTTTGTCTGTTTGAAATGGTGAGAATCAAATTCAGCAGGAATACATTTCATTTAACAGTAGACAACTGTTTTCAGTTTGTGTGATCATCGTCGTGCTTACCCATTGTACTAGAAAAATCCTCTTTTTCAGTTCTTTGCTACATGCCATTATACAGTTACAAAGTTCAGGTTAAATGGTAATAGATGCAGTTCTGGTTTTAGCAACACTGAGTTTTGCTGTATATTTACTGTATATATAGTTTCAGTTAAGGAGTTAAAAATTTGTACTTTCCAAGTTTAGTCAGCATTACTGATTTTCAGATACCATGGCATACAAGTTCTGATTCTGTTTTTAAAACGGCAATTTAAATTCTATTCTGCCTCCACTAATTACTTTTTAATCCAACTTTACTCTTAATTAAAATCTCACATTGAATTTTCTTTGATATCTTGCTTAAAATATTTGTCACTCACATTGGTCGTACCAAGTCAACAACATTCATCAACTGATTCACTACATTTCTTCCATAGCTCTCCAGTTAACGTCATCACAATTTTTTACGCGCAAATGATATTTCTATGATACTATCTAACAGATACCTGGATGATTTTAAGTGTTTTTCAAGTATAGCCCATACGTTTGGCAATCAAATATTTTATATTTCATCCTTCTGTCAGTCTATAAATTTTTTCACATACTTCCTATTTCCTTCTGCTTCAGATTTTTACATTTACCCAGTTGAATTACAGTTCGTAGTTGTCCACTTTATTTGATGATAAGAACGCATGCATGCCACATGTTTTTACTATAAGTGTGTATTCATGGATGCAACCAGTTTAAGAACAACAAACATCCCGCCAACAGTCTACTTACAAAGAAACATCGAGTGGCATAACGTGACTTCAAGAAAAACGAAAATCTGATAATAATTAGACCTGATAAAGGATCTGGTACAGTTATCATGAATAAGAGTGATTATGTAGACAAAATGAATCTCATTCTAAGCGACCAAACGAAATATTAAGAACTGAATAGTTGTATAGACACAACTGAAGCAACCAAACACCAAATGGCTAAGATACTAAAATCACAAGCTCAGAGCAATCTGATTTCTAAGGATACACTCAAGGAATTGAAACCCTCAGGTACGCACACACCAAGATTTTATGGTTTACCGAAAGTCGATAAGCCCGGATTACCACTTCGTCCCATCCTAGATATGTGTCAATCTACAGTAAAGTGGTTGGTAAAGGCATTGGAACGGTTACATCGTGAATTAGTGGAATTCAGTGTGAAAGACGTATTTAACTTCGTAGAAACTACCAAAAGCTGCAGTGTAAAGGGGAAGGAAATGATGTCACTGGATGTAGCATCATTATTCACCAACGTCCCATTGCTCGAAACAGTTAACTACTTATGTGACCAGCTGATAGAACGAAAGATAGATGTAGGAATCCCATCGGAAAAAGTTAAGGAATTATTATTCAAATACAGTATGATGTCCAGTTTATGTTCAACGATGATTTTTATAGACAAGTTGATGGTTTTGCCATGTGATCACCTCTGGGCGGATATTTTCCAGGCAAAGCTTGAAAATGGTCCATTCAAAGATACGATTAGATTGCTTGACTATTACTGTCGATACGTAGATGATAACTTCATCGTTTTTGATAAAAATCTTAATAAACAAGAGCTTCTGAATTCTGTTAATAGTGTTCACCCAGCTATTCAGTTTACATGTAAGGAAGAAGAAAATAACGGTATACCTTTCCTAGACGTCCTCCTTACCATGAGGACAAACGGATATCTACAAAAGAACTTATTTAGAAAGGAAACTTGGATGGGTCAGTACACCCATTTTCATAGCTTCACACCGATTCAATACAAAATAAACTTAGTTAAGTGTCTTAGCTATAGAATAAAACACATGTTCAGAAGAATGCATTAATGAAGAAATTTATAAACTGAAACTTACACAGCAGGAAAGTGGATATCCAGAGGACTTCCTAAAAAGTATATGTTGATACCTAGAGATAAGGTAAAGATGCATACCGTACATAAGAAACCTTTGTATCTTAAGTTACAAAGGAGGAATTGTAGCAAACATTCTAAAATGTTGACTTAACACAGCAGTAGAGAGAACATTTCCTGAAGCTAAACTAATACCCAACTTCTCAACTAAACCAGTACTCACACAACGATTCAAAGATAAATTACCAAAGATGACCTCATCGATGTTTATGTATGAATTCAACTGCTGATGTGGAGCTAGTCACACTGACCGTACTCAGAGGGCTTCATCCATGCGCGCACGTGGACATGAACTTGATGGTTGAGTGAAGAGGTAACCAAAGGCCTAAATAGTGCAGTTTTGGTATATATTGGAAACTCAATAAAACATGACCAGGCGTTCTCAGTTATTTACCGGGTTCCTGGTAATCTATCTAGAGGAGCTTGACTACGGCTTCTATATGTAGCTGAAGCGGTCAAAATCAATCCTAGAAAATTGACTCTTTGTAGACAAAAGAGTTTACTTATGATTACCTTGACCTACAATAAGGCCAACAAATCCTCTATAAACATCAGCACTTTAAATTTCTAGCTCAATTTTCTTTTCTTTTCCTCTTTCTTCTATTCCTTTGTTTTATTGACAAACGTTCATTTTTGACTTTTTATGATTTCATGGCCTTTCTTATAACCTCGCCCATTTAACTAGCGTGCTAGTTTTCTAGCCTGTCCCAAGCCCCGGAAAGGATGGAGGGTTGGGTGTAGGGCTAGCCACCCTACATCCATAAAACTAATCGAACTACTACAAAAACTTCAGCACACAAGAAAAATAATTAGAATACAAAAAATATCAAAAACAACCTTATTTCTCGCTGGAATCGGAAAGACGAAATGATGCGGCCTAGGGAAAGCCTTCGGCAAGCCAGTCAACCGATGCCTTCATTCGATAAAAGCCAAAGTGAGTATGGGTAAGTGGAATGTCCGCACAGTGTACGAGACTGGGAAGGCTGCCCAGGTAGCCAAAGAAATCTGAAGATGTGGTATAGAAGTGATGGATATCTGCGAGAGCAGATGGAATGGATGTGGACTATCTAAATTATCAACTGGTGAGTCAGTAATCTACTCCGGTCACCCAGACGACAAATACGAGCACGAGTCAGTGAGTGGCTAACATGGTGTCACCCGTGGCAGCCAAAGCCCTAATTCAGTGGGAACCAATTTCATCCAGGATCATGACAGCAAGATTCAACTCAAAAGGAGGAAAGGAATGTTACAATTATCCAATTCTACGCACAGGGCTAAAAACGACGTGGAACAAGAGGAGAAGGAAGAGTTCTATAGACAACTGCAAACAGTGATGCACGACATCCCGAATGGCGACATCAAAATCATTATGGGCGATATGAATGCCAGTCGACAATACGGGAAGAGAACTTACCATGAGTTGAGAGTGACAATGCAGAACTCTTCGCAGACTTCTGAGCTTTCAGTGATTTAGTGATTGGAGGCAGCGTGTACAAGCACAAGGATAAACACAAAGCAACATGGATTTCACCTGACAGACACACCACAAACCAGATAGACTTCATCCCAAAGCTGCTCAAGAAAGTGGAGACACAGCCAGTCTGCTGTACACAAAGTCAAGAAGGGGAGCAAATGTGGGCTCAGACCATCATCTAGTTCAAGCAACCTTCAAGGTGAAGCTGAAGTCCTCCAAAACAGCTGGAGACAGGCCACAACTCAAGTTCAACATTCAGAAACTGAAGGACGAAACTACAAGGGATAACTCCCCTACAGACGAGATCAGAACAAAGTCGGAGACACTACGTGGCATTACTGAAGAGACCTGTGTGGATGAACACTGGAACTAACTCTCTGAAGGTGATGTTCAAGGAAATGTGTACAACTGTTCTAGGAAGAAAGAAGAGGCAAGACAAGGAATGGCTATCAACGGATGCCTGGAAGCTAATAGAAGAGAGAAGGATGGTGAAAGAGAAGACAGACCAATGCAAAGATGGAGAACAGAAGGGGAAGCTGAGTTCATCGAACACTGCGCTGAATAAATAAGTGAAGAAGAGTGCTAGAAAGGACAAACAACGATTCTACAACACGCTGGCAACTGATGCAGAACAGGCCACAGCCAAAAGACACTTCATCAGATAACCAGCTCTCCCTCCGGGAAGAGATCAACCCAGATGATGAGACCAATAAAAGATGCTCATGGTAACCTGGTCACCAAGAGGGAGAAAGAAAGAAAACAATGGGCAGATCACTTTAAAGGACTCTTGAATAAACCACTACTTGCAACTCTGCCAAAAATACCACCGACAGCACATACGGAAATGACAGTGGACACCACTCCTCCAACAATAGAAAAATACTTGAGTGCGATCACGCTACTGAAGTCCGGGAAGGCAGCAGGACCAGACAGCATTCCTCCCGAAGCACTGAAGCCGGCCACAGAGATTACGGCAGATGTTCTCACTCCAGTACTGTACAAAGTTTGGAAAGAAGGAAAGGTGCCTACCGACTGGAAGAAAGGCTACCTCGTCAAGCTGCCGAAGAAGGGCGACTTACGCCTCACTCTGCAAGAACTGGCGTGGAATCATGCTCTTGTCCACGTCAAGTAAAACACCGATTTGCATCATCCTGGAAAGAATAAAGGACGCACTGGATACAGAACTCCGCCAACCGGAACTAGTTGGATTCAGAAAAGGCAAATCATGTGCTGATCAAATTGCAACTCTACGCATCGTCATCACAGAACAAAGCATAGAATGGCATTCAAACCTCTCTCTACCTCAACTTCCTACACTGACTTTGAATAGGCCTTCGACAGACAGCGTTGACCGAGAAGTAGTTTGGAAACTTCTTCGACACCATGATGTACAGTGCCCGAATCTTTATCAACCTCATTCAACAGCTGGCTACGTGACAGTGGTACTTGTCAAATGATTGACACACAACGGAAAACTCAGCAAAGGAGAAAGATATGCTGGATGCTTATTATTACCGATGATATTCTTATTGTGGTGCACTGGATTATGCGTCAGACTGTGCTTGGGAGCGAAGAGACAGGAATACGCTGGATCACCGATAAGAAGACTAGAGGATCTAGATTTCACAGATGATAAGTGTCTAGTGTCACACAAACTCGAGGACTCACAGGCGAAACCAACAAACTGGCTGAAGAGGCAGAGAAAATAGGGCTGCAAGTGAACACAGAGAAGACGGAGGTGATGAAGATAACCAATCAACAGCAACAGCAACCATCGCCAATCACCATCAACGGGAGAGATTTAACAGGTGGAACGGACGATGTCAAAGTCACAATTGGAAAGGCAAGATAAACCTTCATCAACCTGAAATTATTTTGGAAATCTTCCGCACTCAGCTTAAGGTACAAGATTCGCATCGTCAATACCAGTGTGAAGTCGGTTCTTCTATGCGGGTCAGAAACTTGCACTGCGTGTCACGAAAAGGATTTCCAACAGGTTGCTGACTTTCAACAACAGCTATATTCTTTGCAGAAGGCCGGCTGGAGAGAATAAGCACCAATAAACCTTGGCTGGGAACAAACCAACCAAGAACCGATCGCTAAACAAATATGCAGGATAAAGTGGAGATGGATCGAGCTTACACTGAGGAGGTCTTCAAATGAAATCGTACTCCAGGCCCTCGAGTGGAATCCAAGTGGAAAGCGATGAGTAGGTCATTGGTGAGTGGGTGACATAGGGGAAATCGTGTGAGGAAGAGATGAGAGGGTTTGGTCAATCGTGGACCCAGCTGAAGCGGAAGGCAGATGTTAGGACAAAGTGAAGATGTGTTGTTGAAGCCCGATGTTCAACTCAGAACCCAAGGAAGTAATAATAATGACGACCTTTCTTACGATTTTATTACTTTAGGTTTAAGCAGTGCTTTTCTAACTTGTTATCGTATGCACAAAATCCTATTCATTCCACTTCACTAAATTCATAATTATTATTATTATTTGACAATCATTTTCATTGCCGTTATTTCTATCCTTGAACTTATATCTAGTCCACTGCATTCGTTGGTTTATTTTCTGTAGTATTCATATTTTCTCACACACGACTGATTACATTCTCGAAACCTGTATTTTTGTTAACTATATATATATATCATCTCATGTTCTCATTGACCATATATATTCAAAACTAACTGACTATTGCTGCACAATACATATCTGATATTATTCTAATTTGCCTTTACTGGCTATTGTATGCTTAAATAAATGGATTCATAATTGTAGAACCTGAATAAGAATTTATTGAAAACATTTGTTCGCTCTAACTATTTTGTTCTGAATAAATTTTGAGAATATTCAAGATGATTTCTTTCATAGAGAATTTCGAAAGCTCCCTTTCTTGTGATGTTGTGTATCAGGACAATGAAAGCTCCTTACTCAAACTGTTTCAAGCTAAGGCAACATCACAATAGCAAAGTCACTATCTGGCATTTGCTGGCTTTTCTGGGTGGTTTGCAGGTACCGGTCGGTTTAACAGTCCCTTGAATTGATTGCTCCGGGATTTCTTCTATTCGACGTCTTTGGTATCTGTGTTCTCTTAAATATCTTTTGTTGTGTGTTGACCTGGTTATTTGATACAATGTTGCAGTGTTTTTAACTGGCACCTGTTTAGCTTCAGTTGCCAGTTTACTGTAAAAGTGTCTTCTTTCTTCATTTATACTCTTTATCACTTCTTTGTTCATTGCTTTAGCATTACCTGAATTAACACTATGCTGTCATTATTTACAAAAATATAATATTTCATTTGGATTTGGAATCTAATTAATTGTAAAATAGTGAAGAATCTATGCAATAACATGAGATTCTACTATTGGCATTCAGTTATCACTTCTCGTTCATTTAACGCTTAATCATTATCAATGCAAGTTATCATTCCATATCTTTTATCATGGGCACGTATTTAATCTTTTTTACGCTCATAAACCAATTTTTACAAATTTTACTCTTGTTAGTATCAATTCTTTCATGTTGTTTTCTCGAAAGATGAAATTGCAATTCAGGTACGTGAAAAAAATGATCTAGAAAAGGAATTACGACACTTACAAAACGACATAACAAGAATGAATACAATGATAGCTAAGGAGAAGACAAATGAAGAAAATTTAAACAATGAAAATAAGTTGGCTGAAATTGACTTCGTACGCTCTTTGAAAGAGAAAGAAACTGAAGCGGCTAATTTGCAAGAAAAAGTTGATCAAACTCAGAAGGATAAAGAAAATTTACTCAATGAATTAGTTGAGGTAGAGTAAGTTGACTAACAAACAAAATTTATGTCAAGTTCATTTTTGTCCAGTTTCTATAGTGGTCTATTGATCAGTGTTTTGCTCACAAATGTTTTGTTTCCACGCTTTCATCAATGTGACTAATATCAATCCTATTAATCTAGTAAAACTTATCACAGGAGGCATAGTACGGTATGTTTGAGTAATATAATAAAATGATAAAGCTCAAAAAATAGAGAAATACACATTCCAACCTTAACTGTTGTTAGTTTTTTCCTGTGTTCAGAACAGAACATAAAGATTCATCAACATATCATTATCTCATTCTGTTGTCTGTCGTCGTTTTTATCTGGCTGTAAAACTAACCACAAGCTTTCATTTCTTATTCATATAATCTCCCTGATGGCACACTCGGACACCTAACCTGTAACTTTTCATTCGATTTCCATTCAAGTTCCTTATGACAGATGTCATCGGAAGGCCTCTCTAGCGTATGTTCCATTTCTCTACATTTATTTCTTTATATTTGTTGAGCAATAGGCTCTTAGTTTGTTTGCTATCTTCCAGAGTTCTTTGTTGGTTATCTTTTCCGGTTGGTCATCTCATCTTCAGAAGCCAGCTGCTGTCGGAAGTCTGCAGTAGCGTGTTTGGAGTGCTTTTGATGATGCGCTGAGTCTCTGAACTATGCAGAAACATTGACTTAACACTTGGATCTTGCTCCTCATAGATTTTCTCACAGTTTACTAACGGGTCTTAAGCCTGTAAAAGGCGGAGAGTTGGGTTTAAAGATACCAACCCTCCACCCTAAAAAGCAACCCACTTATCACTGAAATATCAAAATACAGAAAGACATAAGCTTGTTTTCAACTGAAATTAGGTAAAAGGAATAAATCACGTTGGCTAAAGTTATAAGGAGGGCATCCAACCGTTGTGTATTCTAACTGGTAAAAGTAAAACTACCCTTTAAAGTATTTCTTTGCAATCCATTTGCTTTTGGAAACGGTAACTGCATCATCCCGATCAGGTGTATTGTTGTTCAAGTAAACACAATTTTACACTTCACCTGAATATTAAACCTGATTATTGACAACTATTTCCGCTCCGTTTTAATCTATCCAGAACTTACTGACATGTAAAGTGGTTCGGCAAGTGATTTATGCATTTTCTGACGACTGGCTTCTGAAAGCTAACATCGGATTCAGAAACTTTGTTGTGAGTAAGATTCAGAATAATCTAATTATCGTTTAAGACGTAGACAAATGACAGTCATTCAGCTAGTTATCCGTCCTAGTTGATTTCAAACATTTTATATTTTAAGTTCTGGTATCTTCTTATTGAAGACTATCGTGAAATTTATCATTAGCTTTTACAGTTGCACACTTTAACTTTGTTCAATACCCTTCGATAGTTTTATTGTACTGTCGCGTAACACATTTCGCTGAAATATTTCAGTTAAGCTATTAAAATGCATCCATCCAGTCTTTGTTTTTTCCATCAACACAAATTGAAATAACAGGATAAGCAGGTGCACTTAACTCAGTTTAGGCGGTTAGTATTTTCTAGTATATTTGTACTGGCTGTGTACGTCTAAGTTTTGGTCCTTTCCACAGCTACTTGATAGATGGTTGTAAATCAGGTTTATTGATATTTGTCTGGTGGATTTTAGCAATGCAGCAGTTGGTTTTTAAGTAAATCATCTTTATTGTAGTGCGGCGCTTTCTATTATTTTGACAAGTTGTGTACCGGAAACAGTTCTCACTGATATTTTTAATGCCCATTGGACGTGGACAAAATACACGAGTGTCACTTTTTAGCTTACTTCACCTGTCTTGTGTTACTATATGCATACATATATGTCTTATGACCTTGAAATGCTACCGAGAATATTCATTTTTTACAGCGTTCTTGAATATATAGTCGATTGAATTAATGCTGTGTTACAAAAGACAGCTGAAAGTGTAGTAGCTTTAAAGACGCAATGTCACTATATTTCACTGCGTGAAGTCAGTGTTGATCCATATTTATGATCTTCGGACTGCGAAAAACACTACATCGGCCAAAGTGGACGTCTCCTTCGTCTTCGTATCCAAGAACATAAGCTAGCTGTCAAAAGACATGATATCCACTCCCTCATATCACTACTTACAGACAACCACGGACATCAATTCGACTGAGACAACGTTCAAATATTAGACAGAGGAAACAACAAGAATGCTAGAGAATTTTTAGAAGCTTGGCATTCCAGTGAATCATCAATCAATAGACACATCGAGATAGACAAAATTTATCAACCGATAAGAAAGAAACCTCACACACAAAGGGTCAGAGTTCAAGTCAAAGAAAAAATGAATTACAATACAAATAACCTAGAAGGTGTGAAAACACACAAAAACAACCAATCACGTCCAAGGTCACCAGGAGAGATGATTAATAAACTCGTGCAGAAATCTGAAAGCTCACTTCAAATAGAAGTATGCGCTGAAGATGTCACCTAGTAGGGCGATGAAAGCTTCGCAAATTAACTGTCAAGCTCAGAGAACACAACCATATCGAAATCATCCACCTGAGCTACAAATTTTCTCTATCATACGACTAAAATTGTTGGTATTGAATCATACTGCGTGACATTTAAGAAAATTTCGTTGCACCGATCAGTTTACGAGCGTATTCGTTTTCTTCTTCAAGAAATATTAACACTTTTAAAGTGATTTAGCAGCTTTGTAATGTCCGACATAAAAGTTTTGTTTTCAGCATTCGTTAAGACTATGGTAATTTCAGTCACAATCTTCTAGTTTATATTAGCCTTCAAGTGTTCTTATTTTTTACTTATATTTACTCCATGTATTTATTCAAGCACATATCATTTAGGATAACTATTCCTAAGTGCGTTCTTAAGTCTGTTGGCAGATAACACATGCCAAAACTGTTTATATAACTATCTTTTAACATATGACGCTATTACAGACATCTCAGTACAACTGTAGCTAGCAACAGTAAATTTTAAAATTCGTAAATAAGCTCAAGAAACCTATTTTTCTTATGAAATCTGCAAGTTTTGCATGTGTATATTTATATTTCCCTTGTTCAGTAGTTTCCAGCCATATTATTCAAGACTTAGACACAGTCAAAGTTTGGATTGATTGAATAGGTGTACTAGTAAGTGTATTGGTATCTCAATTAAGAAGGACATGCATAACCAGACACTTCACTTAGTTACTAAATTGAGAGATTCTCCTTATATGAAAAGTATAGAAAAAATTGATCATCATTGAGGTCTGAATATCATCTGGATTCTACCGTTCAGTACTCAGAAAGATATGATGACAATACCGCATTTTCCCACTAACCAGATTTCATTTCAGCCTGTCCTAACTGTTATAATTTTCAGATGTTTTGCTAATGATGCACAATTTTCGATCGTTAATTTGGGAAAAAAGCGCTATTTATTATTAACCTGAACACACAATTAAAAAAATGCAATCTCTATTTAATTTTATATCAATTTAGGAGAGCAATAATGTTGTGGGAAAAGAAAGTGCAATTATGTGAAGAGACAAAAAAATCAGTTGACTGTGATATCGGTCAAGGAGAGATGAGTGTTATGCGTCATGAAATTCATCGTATGGAGATACGGAAATCTTCATTACTTCAGCAACAAGAAAGGCTGATACAAGCACTAGAGCGTTCTGTGTCAAAGTAAGCTTTTATAGAGTTTTAAATAAATTTCAAAGATATGACAAATAAGACCAGATCATTTTAAATAATCCAGCCACTTTTCTCGGTAGTCTGTATTGTGTGTCAGCCTGATAGGTACACTTTAAAGCAATAAACGACTGTTCAGTTTGCTAGTCTACTTCTCCTCTCCCTTCTCCGTGGTAAATGTCTTATTTTTACAACTGAAGGTTGAATTGTTGCCACTATATGAATGTATTCGGCTTTTGAAGAAGGGTCTTTTGTTTTATTCTGATGGATTTTAGGTATGATTAATGTTCAGATTCATTACATCAGTGAAATCTTATCGTGAGCCTACTGATTTCTGTCATTTCAGATTTCTTTGTGAAAATGAGAATCCCAGGTGCATTTGTTAAAGCCACAACCACTTTGCAGTTCGTTTCGAATTCTTATATTATTTAGTGAAATGAATTAATGACTATTGCTAATAGAATTTTGGACCTGTTAACAGTTCAGCCTGGTAAGCTGATCAGTAGTGCAGGAGTTGCTATCACCTAGCATCTACAGCTTTGAAACTTATTACTGTTATACTCTTCTGGATTTTCATCTTCTTGCTGCCTGACTGTTCATCAGTGTTAACATTTCTTATTGAGATAAACATCTATTAGTAAGTTTCTAGTCAACAATGTTCTTTTATGAAGTCTACTTTAGATAACGTATTTTGATTAACAAATGACGGTTATGATTAATCGTTTGCTGTGTAATGGTTCTTCCAGAATTTACGTTTTCTGTTCCAAGGGCTTCTTGATACAGTAACACTTCTATTGATTTTTGTGACAACAATAACTCATTAGCCTATTCTTTAATCGCATTTAAATGTAGTCTTTTTCTGCTACCATCAAGAAGACAGATATTTCCTCAGCTTCATTTTAAGTAAATGCCATCTCATACCTAGTAAAAGCTGCTGATGTGGAGGTCAATATTTCTAGATTCTTTCTGCTTGAGATGGCCAGTTCATTATCTCACTTGTCACTTCATTCAGTGCGATATCAAAGCCCCATCATAGCACTTTTCAGAAAATCTCTTGGCTGCCGATAATATAAGTATTTCTACTGATACCAAATTCGTTTGGCAGTAGCCAGAAAGAAATTTCATTTCGAACAAAGCTTTTCCTAAGAAACTGAATGAATACTTAAATATGGGTATGATATTTAGAAAAGAACTCTCAGTAGCATGTAAGTTACAAACCAGTTTATTAGCATTTAACTGCAGAATGAGAGGATTTGTATTTCGCCTCCTGAAAAATGGGTAGTAAAATTATAAAGCTTTAACTAATACTTTAGATATATCGAGAGTTTGATCTATTTAGCTCCACAGCTTTTGATTCTAACGTAATTATGCTTGTAAAACTTTTGACTGATTTATTCAGATTCTTTATGGATTATTTGTATCCTTTGGCAAGAGGCAAAATTATATAATGATGAGAGACAGCTTGCTTCAGTGGATGCTAAACTCCTGATGTTTCAGACATTCTTTCAGTTGAATGTACGTCTCTTGTTGCTCGGTTGATGGTGGTTAGAAGTGAGACTCATCAACTAAAATGCCGAGTTATATATATTGCTATCATTTACTCATCAGTGAGAAGAGTGTTATAAAACGAAATCTTTTATCAGTCATTCAAACAGTCAAACGGAATTGATTTAAAGAAGCAGTTGGTGTTGTGAGCGTGGTGATTCAAAAGAGTAGCTTGCAGTTCATGAAGACAAAGATAAACTCGTTCATGTATTGAGTAGTAACATATGAAATGCTCTATTTATTGAGTTTCCATCATATACTTATGCAGTCTTCTTATTTTCAGGCGCGATATTATTGTGAATCAGTCTGAACTTGTGCAGCTGAAAAAAGATAAAACACAAGTCCGCATTACAGCTCAGCGTCATATTGATGATCTTAAACAAAAATTGAAAGCTATTAAACAGGTACTTTCCATATTTATGAGGTTTTTTGTCAGATTCAGTTTTGACGTCTAAGCTTAATATCACATCCCCAAATAGCTTTAAAGTAATATTGCAAAATGGCTTTTGCTATGCTATTATTATGAAAACTAAAATTTTTGTTTTCGATTTTCATATTGTTTAACAAATAACCTCAAAATATAAATTTTATAAAAACAGGTTTTTCGGGAGAAGTTACTTAGTATGTGTGGCTTTTAAGTTGGTACCTTTGTTTATTGTAAATATCTTGGAATTCTGTGACATTCTTCGTATTTCCTTCTGCTTCAGATTTTTACATTTACCCAGTTGAATTACAGTTCGTAGTTGTCCACTTTATTTGATGATAAGAACGCATGCATGCCACATGTTTTTACTATAAGTGTGTATTCATGCATGCAACGATCAAGGGGACATCCTCTTTGGTCAATACAGTATTTCTTCACAGTTCATGCAATCCATTCCGTAGATAATGTTGATTCTGTCATCAATCTGATTATTGTATTCACCTGTATCGGTATTGGTCGTCTGTTTGACGTGACATTCAGCCTTTCAGTGTTGTAACCTACTATTTTTTACTTGATCAGTTTAAAATAATAGAGAAGATTTGTAGCCCAGGTGGATGATTTGCAATCAGTTGTGTTCTCTGAGCTGATTGGTTTAATTGCGTAGCTTTCGTCGTACGTCTGGACAACATTTTCAGCGCAAGTTTTAGCATAAAATGAACTGATTTAAATTCTCCGTGAATGATAAAACTGCGTTTCCTGGTAACTATCTTCGTGACTGGTAGTCGATTTACATCTGTATTGATAATTTTTATTGACTTAGATTTTGACCTTTCTCGTCACATGATTTACTTTTCATTAGTTGGTAGATCTGGTCTATATTAATATGTTTGTTAATAGCATATTTGCTTGAGTACCAGGCTCCTGAAATTCTCTGGCACTTTTGGTGTTTCTTCTGTTTAAAATTTCGACATTATCTCAATCAAATTGATTTCCATGATTGTCTACATGCACTGATATGAATGAATATATATCATGTCTTTTCACAGCTAATTTGTGTTCTTGGATTTTGATTCAAAGGGGATGCATCAATATGTATGTTAACGACAAAGTGATCTGAGTGCCAGGTACTGAAGAATTCTGTCATTTTTGTGTTGCTGGTGTGTAATATCTTTAAATTCCCTCAGTAAAACGGATGTCCGTAGTTTTTTTATTATAGGTTTATTCCACACCGTAGTTTTGGTACAAGTATGTAATTTCCAGCATGGGATATCGGTAGCCCAAATTTTGCAGGCCAACCGTTGAAATCAGGTGTGTGTCGGCAGGAGATCGAACCTCGGACGATGTGCATGGTCGGCGAGGGTCCTAAACGACCAGTTGTATGCGTGTGGACGAATGAACGCCTTCTGACCGGCAGTTTGTGTACATAAACGTTAAGATGATGGAGGCACCTGTTTTGATTACTGTAGTGGTTTTCTTATTTAGTGAAATCTGTCTCATTTAGTGCACTACACCGTCGAAAGAATCAAGAAAGGCTATTATTTCATTTATGGGTAATTTTGAAAGCTTCCTTTCTTGTGATTTTGTGTATAAGGACAATGAAAACTCCTCACTCAAACTTTGTCGAGCTAAGGCAACATCACAATACCAAAGTCATTCATATGACGTATACATCATCTCAATCATTATAAAGTTAAGTTAATTCCAGTAGTTAAGTAAGCATACTCACAAGTCATGGTACGATATATGAAAATGAACTATTTCTATTATATAATACTAACCGTAGTTCGGTGAATTATGATTTAGATTTGTGCTAAATGAGCTTTGAATCAGTTCTCTAATACGTTCATGATAAAGAATTACTTGTTAGTACTGAAATACTAATCACTACAAACCACTATTCTCTGTCGTCCAAATTTTTAAAAAAATATTTAGAATTCTTCTATTTGTACACAAGAACTTGGAGAAATAGAAGAGAAAACTAATATTTTGGAAAGCGAATTGTCAATGAAAAAAGCTGACGCTGAAAGTCAAAAGACAAGAGCTGATGAGTTGATGAAGGAACTACAATCATTAATTGATCAGAAACAAATTGTAAGTCACTTGCGTTTGTAGATTTATTTAAATAATGCAATATACTTTTGCTAAATGACTGCATACTTCCCCAACTCTCGATGCTACTAAACCAGTAAGTGATCTGAATATACTGTCCTTTCAATAATGCAGCGGATTTTATTTATTCTATTTGACTAGGGATATCTACGCTGTCACGCATGATCCCTAGGTAAACCTAGCTTCTACAGTGTTCAAAATTACTGGCTGTGTAATATGAAGAATTTTCAAAGGAAAGCAGTCAAACACTAACCTATAAAGTCTGTAATTTTTGTTGTTCGTAACTTTCACTTCGGAAAACCTAATAAAATTACTAGAAAAACTTCAAATGATGGACAGATATAATAAATGTAGTAAAAATGAAAAATAAAGGGCAAGTGAAAGAAGGATATACAAGAATGTTGGGATAAATATTGTAATGACTTCATGGGACATTACGTGATTTATTTCAACACATTGAAGTGACTCACGAATCAAAGAGGAATAATGAGTGTTTTCATAGTAGATTGTGTTTTACTGAGCCACAAAAAATACGTGGAGAGAGACGTTATACTATCTCTGAAAGAACACCAAATGCAAACCCTTTTTGTATACAAAAAGGCGTTTAAGGTTAAAGATTGGATGAGTCACTCTTACTATTTAAGCCATAATTGTCCCAAATACTACTTCATTCACTGTGTTATTTCTATAATGGTAGAAATAATATTATTATGTAGAAATTGTTGACCTAATGTACAGCATTTCCTGAGTAATTCATTGCATAAAATTTTATCCTATTTCATGATGTTCAAGTAAAATAGTAAACGATAGTATATCGCGTGACATGGTGCTGTTCGATTTAAAGCACAAACTAATTTATCGTGATATTTTTTCTGGCAATTCTAATGAAAAGCACCTCAACTCAACAACTAATGAAATGATCTTGAAAGTCACACCGTTGTAACAACAGAAGACAAGGGCCAGGCAACAGATCGTTTATTAAGGAAAATCAACACATATTTATAGATTTTAATGTACATTATTGTAAGTATAAAATACAGTCTTTTGATTGGTTGTTTCTCACAGAAAGTTAACCTTGCATCTGATGTAAGTATAAAACTTGGGCACTGTGGTAGAGTATAACTCCATTATGGATAAGATTTTATTTTGATAAATCACACAGTGTTGTACAGTAATATTAACTGGTGACGTTTCGAGCATAAACTATTGCTCATAATCATATCAACTCATATCACGTCAACTTGATATGATTATGAGCAATAGTTTATGCTCGAAACGTCATCAGTTAATATTACTGTACAATACTGTGTGATTTATCAAAATAAAATCTTATCTATAATGGAGTTATAACCTTGCATCTCTTTGTGGCTGTGTCAGAACATCCATACGCTAACTGTATCCGCCTACGCAAAGCCTTTGTTCTCATTTTCTCACCACCAATATTGGGGACATAAACATTGACGTCAATTACTGTCTACCAACTTTGGCTAGCAGCCAGCTCTCACAACACCGTGAAGGCTGGCATTTATTATTTGGGAAAGTACACTTAGCGTGAACATCATGATAAAAGTTAAACATGCTGCAAAGTGTCTACCAGTTTCCTATAGGAATGGTTGACAATCTCTAATAGTCTCTATAGATAAATTTATCTGTACGTGTCTTTTTGAGATCTATATATAATTTTTATATTTTTTAAATATTGAAATCGTATAAGTCGCAGTCGACAAAATCTGAGGAATGATTCACTCTGTTCACTCCCCTATCGGGGATGCGCATTCCAGTCGTGAGTTTAATTGACTATCCCTGGTATCACGAAACATTATGTTATTGGTAGTAAAACACTGAAAATTCACTGGAAATTCTTTTCATAAAGCAGCAGTCTGATTGGTTGTTCAAGGTCACTGGTTCACTGGTTCTTGAGTTTGGTTGTTGTTCTTGATAGCTGTCTTTATTCTTCGTCTCCAAAATGCGCGTAGCAGCAGGTTGAAAGTGAAATACAAATGTGCATGACTACAGTTTGCGGTAAAGTTAAACTGTGTTAGCCTCCGCAGTCAACCTTGCCGTTCACCTTAGGCTACTGGTTACAAGTTAGGAGTAGTGAAGGTCATGGTGTTTGGATATTCGTTTGTATTTCACTATCTGTTCTTTAATCTATCAAAAAATCACAATGCTGCAAAAACCAGTTATTCTATCAAGCTTCTCCCGTATACTGATGTTTCAGTAACTCCAATTCACTCATTATTCACACAGTAAGCGAAAACTCGATATTCTTTGAACTCGTTGAGCATTACCAGAGAAGGAGGCGTAATTTGATTCAATTACGCCACTTGCAACTCTAAATGGTTTTCGAAAGTTATATACTGGGTTGGCTACTGTAATTCAAGCTTTCCAATTAAGTGATCCAATGAAACAGTCGTGCAAAAACGAAAGAAATGGAAGAAATTTGATACATTGTGTTGGTAGGAAATTCAGATAGCCAAGCAGGCAGGCCACCCACTAGTGTTTATTGTTTCTTTAACATTTCAGATTATTATAAGACTATCATCATTTTTCATTTCTTTTGTTCATAATGGGACATAAGAATTAAGTGACACATTTGAGTCTCATACTGTTCTCCACCTAAATCCTCAGCTTTTATATCCACCTCTTTTCATCATCGAGGTTTACATTCAATCATTTTCTTTTCGACGTGCCTTCGTCTGTTGTAGCTGACATACATTTATTTCGTCAACTTTTAGGCGTGCTTTCCGAAGCATGATTACTTCACGTGGTGTTTTTTGTGCAGATTTTCGCATTCAGTTAGTCGCAAACGGTTCTGTTTTTCAAGTCTTTAATTTTTCATCGCTTGATAAAAATTCGTGCAAAGTTGTCTGGTTGTGGTGACCATGGATTTTGCCTGCCTACCGCGATCATTATACAACCATTAGGTAATTTCCCAGCTGTTACTATAATATGATTATATTCACACAAGAGAGAGGGATATGCATATTCACAAAGTATTTCACTTAGTACACAATAATAATGGCCAAACATAGCATTATTTTAAAATGATAAAATCAGTTCGTTGTCTATCTGTATAACTACGAGAAACATTAAAGCAGACTAATTCCGATTGGCTCATTTTCAGATCAGATATTAATCCCCACATTATTTATCTTCTCAATATAAAGTTTGTTTGGGTTTATGTTGAATGACTATGAGTATTACTTCTATCACCGTTTGTTTTTACTTCCAGGACCTTTTTGAACTCCAAATGCGTCAGCATGCAACAGTGTACTGGGAGCAAGTTAAAGAAGGCAAGTATAGGCGTCTTTGTCCTTCTGTCACTTCAGCCGAAAATGAAAGAAAAAGACAAATTAATCGCGCTCGAAGTTTAATGGCAGTTATTGACCACTTAGTAACAGAATTTCCACAGGTTTGTTGTGATCAATTGTTTTTACATGGGTATTTATAACATTCAATAAATGAACAACGCTGACTTCGTTTACCTTAAGAATATTTGGATTGCCTAATGCGAGACATTTTAATAACTAAGTAGTGAATGTTCACTTATGTAGCAGAAATCAGGAAGTATATCAGCGAACGGTGAACGCCTTAGTACTTAAAAAAGAAACATAATATACAGTAGTTACCTTCATAGTGTTACAAACTTCAACAGAGTAAATAAAGTACCTCAAAGTAGCCCAATATACATCTTATTGGTCATATTAAGATTATCCTGAATAAAATGCTCTCTTTTTCTCTTGAACTAAATATCGATATAATGAGGGAACAATATTTCACAAGACTTTATTATTAATGTTATCGCAGATTACTGTTAGGAATTATAAAACCAGTTGGTTTCATGTAAGTGTCAATTTAGCTGGTTATTTGCGCTCAAGAAGAAATAAAATATGGATATTACAATGAAATTATATTAATCATGAATAATCGGTTATTTCAGTCTGTTTTTGTTCAAATTAAATCTGCCATGCCAACTGACTGAAATGACTTTCACAAGACAGTAAAGATTTCACTGATTTTCATAGACGTGAAGAGAAATGGAGGTGCTATACCAGTGGAGCTGCGAAACACAGTCATTAATAATAATAATTTGCTTTATCTCAAAACAGTACTTATGAATCAGCATGGAATTCTCAGCATTTGGTGCAATAATGAATCCAGTTTTCTCGACAAACAGAAAAAAATTAAAGATATAGCAGTGGAACGGTAGGAGACAAGAGACTTGGTAACGGAATGTTTATTTGGAATTTAATATTTCTATATAAGGAAATTTCATACACCTTAAATGAAAATCGTAATTTGTACAGATCTTCAGTGTTGTACTATTTCTGCCCTTCACACTATCTTTCTTTGTCTTCTTTTCGTGTCTCCCATGTCTTGCTGGTTCATTTAATGTCTTTGACGTCAAATCTATCCTTCCGCTATTTCATACTTTGTGCCAGTGAACGTCTCTTCATAAACTAATGATAAATCCTGTCAGTAGCACACGCCAAATCAGCTTTTTCGGTATTAACAATAACAATTAAATCAAAAATGTACAAAAAGTGTAAAATAATGAAAGTGATGTTAATCTCTAAAGTTATAAGTTAATTGAAACAGTGTCACCATAGATTACAAATAGGAGAAGATGAAAGTGCCAATTGTTTTGCTTATATGGTAAGTCGAAGGTTTCACGCTTAACATTATCTCTATCGGGCCAAATCAGCTCATCATGAGCAATGCCCAGATGTAATCGATTTTCCTCTCCCAGAAATGCATGTGTGTTATTCTTGCCGACGGCCAGTTAATTTATTTATCTGTTTGTTTCAGTAAATTGATTAACTTTGCAGTAAATGTGGGTAAGATTTTTGATGTAATACTGAATGATTCAAAAAAGACTTTGTTTTCATGATATATATATATATATATATATATATATATATCATGAAAACTTTCTTTCTTCCACTTTCTTTCAATTTACAGATTCGAAAAGATTTGGAACCTGTAGGTCATTTGTTAGAAAGCAAGTTAAATTCTGAAAGCAGTGAACTTAAACTTGATGGTGTCAGTCCTGGTACTGAAGATTCATTATTGATTTAAAATTAGTCAGAATAAACCAGCTGTGTTTAGTAATTTAAAAACAAGTTTCAAAACGAATGGCTGTCTATGCCAAAGCTCTCCATAAAATATACGATCAATTTTTTCGTAAAAGTATGTACCTATTTATCCACACAATATATAAAAAACTGCGAGATTTGAACAATTATTCGGTTTTTGAGCAATGCGAACATTTTATAAATATTTTTAGTCTCAGGTAACTTCCCATTTTAACTTTTGATTTTTTCCAAAACAAAACTTTTAGGACTTGTAGACCACTATTATCAATTGTATACAGGTGTCCAGCAAATATTGATGTTCTCACGTAAGCATTTACTGAATATGCATTTCGGTAAAGCAGAGTAAGTATAACGATGAAGTACCTGAATCAATATAAGATCTGAGAATTGCTTGTCAAGCAGCTAAACATAAATATTTGAAACAAATTAAGTTATTTTCGATCAGTCCTCATCAGCGGCGTACCCGGTTTGACTCAGCTCAGGGAGCGAGTCAGTTCAAACCACCTTATTACTGGCTGGCTACTTCAACTAACTGGTAATTCCATAAATCACTGTACAATTTCTTCTCTGCCTCCAGTAATAGTGAATGAAATTAAACACAAATTATTCAAAGGCACTTAGTTGTTAAGAAATCTTCAGAAAATGAAGATGGAATTTTTCAGAAATACAATAAGGATGTCGAGATTTGTCTGGACTGATACATTCATGAAACACTAGGCCGCATTTCATGCTGGATACCGCTCCTTAAATAAAACTTATGCGTAAAATAAGTGTACCAAATAAGGTAAATAGCTGATTATAAAAGACGATTTAATCAAGTAAATAGGTATTTCCAGTAAATTCTTCTCAGGCTTTACAATTACATTACTAAATATCAGTTATAAACATGTAAAACTATGTGGATCAATAGAATCAGATATAATCAAGTAGAATGCAAGAAAAATAATAATAAATTGTGACATCAAACATAAGTCATCCGCGAAATCCAGGTCTTCTAGGTTCTCCACGTCGGTCCAGGATATCCCTGTCTTCTCGTTTCCCACTGTCTGACGCATAATCCAGTCCACCACAATTAGGAATATCATTGGTGATAATAAGCACCCTTGTCTGACTCCTGCGTTTACTCAAAACGCCTCGCTGAGCTTTCCGTTGTGGATCACATGAAATTAGGCATTGTCATACAGCCAGCTGTTGAATGAGGTCCATAAAGACTTGAGGCGCGCCGTAGTGTTGAAGCAGTTTCTAAATTAATTCTCGGTCAACGCTGTCTGTCGAAGGCCTTCTCGAAGTCGATGAAGTTGAGGTAGAGAGAGGTTTGAATGCCATTCTATGCTTTGTTCGATGATGATGCATAGAGTTGCAATTCGGTCAGAACATGATTTGCCTTTCCTGAATCCAGTTTGTTCTGGTCGGAATTCTGCAACCAGTGCGCCCTTTATTCTCTCCAGGATGATGCGACTCAGGATTGTACTTGGTGTCGACAGGAGCATGATTCCTCGCCAGTTCTTGCAGAGTGAGGTAACCTTTCCTCCAGTCAGTAGGCACCTTTCCCTCCTTCCAGGCTTTTTGCAATAATGGAGTCAGCATATCTGCTGTCGTTTCTGGGTCCGCTTTCAGTGCTTCCGGGGTTATTCCATCTGGTCCAGCTGCTTTTCCAGCTTTCAGAAGCTTGATTTCATTCAAGACTTCAGTTTTCGTTGGAGGATTGGTGTCAGCTTGCAGTTGTGTACGCATTGTTGTTGGTATTTCTGGACGGGTTGCAGGTGGTGGTCGGTTCAAGAGTCCTTTGAAGTGATCCGCCCATTGTTTAATCTGTCTTTCTTCCTTGGTAATTGGGTTCCCTTGGCTGTCTTTTATGGGTTTCACTTGTGTTGATCTCTTCCCGGATAGAGGCATTTAAAGAAAGTTTTATACGGTCCGCAAACAACACAAACGGTAACCAATTCTCTATCCGGGAAGAGATCAACACAAGTGAAACCCATAAAAGACAGCCAAGGGAACCCAATTACCAAGGAAGAAAGACAGATTAAACAATGGGCGGATCACTTCAAAGGACTCTTGAACCGACCACCACCTGCAACCCGTCCAGAAATACCAACAACAGCGCGTACACAACTGCAAGTCGACACCAATCCTCCAACGAAAGCTGAAGTCTTGAATGCAATCAAATTAACTTAGATCATGCTAAGCGGAGCGCCATTTTTTGGTCAAAACGTTCGTCTCACAGAGAAAAGATCAACACACATCAACCTAATTTCTAGTCAATGTCGAAAAGCGAATGATCTCGAATGCATTTGAGCAGGGCCTTCTATTTTCCTCTATGTGCTATGGCTAGACAGGTTAGCATGTTCAGAAGCACTACCTGAATGTGTAATCATTGCCATTCAGATCTGAAGGATAAAGAAAAGCCTGAAGACATTTTTTAATGATTGTTTCTACGGTTACATGAAATTATGCTTTATGTGTTCTGAACTTAACTTGTCAAGTTGTTTGTTATTGTATTTTGTTTAGATGCTTGACATAAACTTTTCCATTTTGATTCACATGGTGATTTTCGATTTCATGATTTTGAAGTCCTTATTTATTTAACTATCCTGATTGTTCTCTACTGTCCGTCATCAATATTTTTCCTTTTTTGTTTAAAGTTTTGTTTTAGTTATTACATTTGGTTGTTTCCTATTATGAATTTTTGGTTCTAAAATTCGCTTTTGTGAATTAATTGAGCGGTGTGTAAAGTTTCATGCTAATGTACGTAACCACCTTTCATGAAATTCAAAACCAATTTTAACTAGAACTGTGTTTCATGTAAATTCTTTTTCTTTTTTATACAATCCATTCGAAAACTCACCATTTCTCAACCTTTGCATCGCTTCGCACTTACGCATTCCTTACAGAATCATCTAAACTTTGTGACTACTTGCTACTGCACATTGCAGTCGGTTGTATTCGTGACTTTGTCAACATATAACCCATATGGGTGTTCTTCGTATGCTTATAGGATTCATTTTCTGTCCGTGAATTGAATTAACTCTTTCTCATATTTGAACCCTTATACTTTCGTCGATCATTTTGGCAAACCGTAATATTATTCACATAACTATCACTAGGCTATGTTTCTTGAGTTCCCCTATTTCTTTACCGGGAAACTCCAGCATTATTTCAATGACTTCACATTTAATAATGTTTTTCGATACGTCTGTACTACTCTTTCTTCGTCATTTGTTTAATGTGTGTAGATACCTTTTGCGATGTAGTGACCACCTTTTGTTCGAAAAGAATGAATGTGGTAAGAATGTAAGAAGACTATTTCTGTCACTGACACTCATCATGTATTTCTTCCATGATATGAATGTCTGTACTGCCTGTTCAGTATGCTCTTTTGCTTATTTAATCTGTTGCTGTAGTAAACAATTTATTTAAGCTATTAATAACCTTTCTAAGAATCCTAATATGGTGTTCACAAAACACTGTTTTTTTTTAAAATTTAACATAAGAGTCTACGAAGTTAAAACTGCATTTAAATTTTAAAGTGCATAATCGGATCATCTCTGAGTGGATGTATGCCTTCAATATTCTAAGATTCTACCTTCGTTTATTATCCCTAATTTTATTAGAGTGGAAAATGGTCCTGTGGAACATATGTGTCAGCACTCAGCCTTTAATTACAAGACCTCAGTGATTAACGGAATGTCAGCATTGTTGACCAATGAGGCACAAAATATGTTTTAGATAGACTAAACAAAAAGCCCCACACGAATTCTCTATCCAACCTGACAGAAATATATTACGCTTGGTAACTTTAGGATCACTTTCAACTTTGAGTCGTCACTGATCTACTCAATTTGGTGACTCTATAACAGCTGCTGTTGCTCCTAGATATTCTGTTACATACTACTAGTTGGTTCATAGGAGAATTTGGATACCAATCAGCAGTACTTACTGACCAGACTGAGCTGATTTAAACGCTGATGACTGATCTGATTGGTATCTAGCTAATCATCTGGACCGACCAGTGCCATATATCAGCACGCGAATATACTCTCTTTCCCGATTGCTAGTTGTGGTATGAATAAGATAACAGTATGGGATATCAATGGTTTCGGTTTACAAAAGAGAACGGTGCGATTTCGCCTCAAAATGTGTGAATCACAAATCGCGAATTAACTTCCAGATTGCGAATTTGACTCCTAAATTGAATAAATGACAGAAGGTACATCCGCATATATGTTTTTATCAGATAAAAATGCGATAAGATGGGAAAATAAGCTGAGTGAACACCAGTCAATAAAGTAAACAAGGTGTAATAACTTGAAGTGAACCAAAATGAAATAAAGAAGTTTTATGTATCGCATGATAAGATTAAGCTGAAGGTAACGAGAAAGTTGGCTAACAGCCTACTTCGCAAAGTCGTTGTCGGAAATCCTTAGCAAAGGACATCAAACAGCAAGAGTCATTACAGTTTTTTACATTTCATTTTTATGTGGGTAGAATTAAGCGTTATGTGCTCTTGAGTTCTGAATCGCTAAGCAGGCTACACGAAGATATGTAGGTATTTTACTAAAAGAAAATCATTAAACTTGGAAGCAATGAAAACTGAAACGTCAATCAATGTCAGCATTAATAAACAAAGAATCAAATTCAAGAAAATGGTATTTATTTCTTATCAGTCGGAAAATGTGGTAAATACATTCAATAGACAGGTGTTCTTGATACAAATTAGCAAAGACGCTTAGATGTTGAAACCATGCATGACCCTTATTGACTTCTTTCGACAAAGACTTACGTCCTGCAGTATGCACTGGGGTTAGCGACCCTACACATGAAAATCAATTAGGTCACTACAGTAACTTCCCAGTACAAGAAAAATATATAATGCAGACTTATTCTTCTCTGGAATCAGAGAAACGAAATGATGCGGACTGTTGAAAGCCTCCGAGAAGCCAGTCAAACGATGTATGTTGTTTCAATAAAAGTGAAAATAGA